CTAAACTATCAATATCCAAAGACATCTGTTCCTCCAAGTGTGCCATAAAGATGTCCGCTAAAATAGGGCCTAGAGGGCTTCCCATGGCCACACCATCAATCTGGCGGTAAGACTGCTTTAGAAAACTGAAATTGATGTTCGAAGTGCACAACATTAAAAGTTCCTCAAGTTTTGAAATAGGTAAACCTACCTGCAGATGTTTATTTTCTATACGGTCACATATAATTTTCACGGTTTCTTCCAAGGGCACGTTTGTAAATAGTGATGTTACATCCATTGATGCCATGTATTTTTGATTTACATTCATTGTGTCCAGTATTTCTGCCAGTTCAAATGAATCTTTGAGTATTTTGGGCTCAAATGATTGTCGTACTGGTTTTAGTAATTCCGCTAGCCATTTAGCTAAACCATGTTGAGCTGAGTTTATCATTGACAGGATGGGCCTAAGGGGCATTCCAGGTTTGTGTACTTTTGGAAGACCATACAACTGCGGTATTAGTGAGCCACACGGTGTGAGCATCTTAGCGGTAGCTTCGCTGATGAATTTTCCTGCCAAGAGTGATTTGATTACTTTCTTCATTTTCGCTTCCATGTTATTAACGTAATTTACTTTGGAATCCAGCAGAAATTTTGATTGATCAGATAATATTTCTTCCATTTTGGTTTGATAGTTTGACTTGTCCATCAGAACTACACCATTTCCTTTGTCTGGTTTCAGTATTATTAATTGTTCGTTGGCTTTTAATGTTTTCAGAGCAATAATATGCTCTTTAGATAATGGACACTTTTGCTTAGACTGGGATGTGCGGTACTGATGTTCCAAATCCACCAATCTAGCTTTTAACCAACCAACCGAATCGGTAGACGACGGGGTCAATGTCGACAGCTGATCAAAGAACATTTCAAATTGAGCTTGTGACTCGATGGGGTTGATTTGTTTAGGTTTTACGCAGAACTTTAATCCGTAAGCAAGAGCTTCAGTTTGTAGTTTACTGAGTGTAAACGAAGACAGATTAATCACATGTTTCTCAGCATTGTCAAGCACAGAAGTGGTAATCTTTTCCGAACTCAATGACTTCTTTAAACGTGTAGTTTCTTGAATTTTCACTTTACCCAATGTTTCAATACAAAACTTTGTGAACTTTAAATAACAATACAAAGTCAGATCGTTGGTAATACTGTAGGCCGAACTGTGAATTCGCCTTAGATTGATCAATTTCGATTGGATTTCTTCTATGTAATTTTTCGTCATTCGCCTCAAATTTCGTACCGTTGGGCAGATTTTCTCAGCTCTCAGCGATCTAAGATAACGGTGAGGAAATATTCCAGATGTAAGGCATTCTCCAAGAAACCGTAACCGACAATCCTGTACTGCGATTTTGCATTTCAGTTTAAATAATCCATCCAGTCGCTTCACAGTTGATTGTGGGAGGCGACGTTTCAAATAATCAAAGCAATGTTTCCCCGTTGTAAATTTGAACAAAGAAGACACAAACAATAGACTGCACAATTTATTGCCTGGCATATTTCGCTGTATCTCATCAGGTGCATACTTCAGTAACAATTAATTAAAATGAAGCAAATAGCTGAATCCTAGAAACTGAAACACAAATTCGAGTAGATTTCAAACTGTTTTACCAAGGTAAACGTAGGGCAACGACCATTTCCTTTTGCCTACAAAGTTCCGGTTTCAATCTGCAGAAAAAAATTGCAGAAAGCGGATGGTCGTGATGGAACGTAATGGCCTGCCGTGTTCGGGGTTTCCACTTCACTGAAATCGGTTCACCCCATACTTGCTACCTTCCCGTCCCTGTGAATATCTAATAAAATGTCCCGTACTATCCTACTTGTAAAAAAACAAAAACTGGCTATGCCATTTTCTCTTCATTCTCTTCTCTTCTGAACACATTTCTTCACAACGACAGCTTTTCTGCGTAACCTTCTCTTTCTCCAGTTCCGTGAGAACATGAAACCTCCTGGGAGAAGACATTTCTTGGCAGATCGTTTAATACCAACAACTGCGAAAACAACGATCTTTGCAAAAATCGTCAGTGCCAGACGGCAGCAACGTAAATCTACAAGCTTGTGAGAGGTCAATGTTTGGGGTGCAGATCTTGAAAAGCGCTTAAACGGTTACGGGGGTGAAATGTTGCTTTGAATTGGATCTGTTTAGTGTATGTTAACAAGCGAATCATTCATCTGAAAGTAAGCAAACACAGATGCTGAAGAAAATAAGATTACAGTGTGGTGTGGGTGTATACATGTAGACGTTATGACGAAAATGCTAGTATAATTTGCATGTGCGGAGAAAAAGTAAATGAAAAACACCTGAAAGTGACGCCATAGAAAGAAATTGATTGATGCATATGAACGGAATGGAAGAATAGACTGCGGACCCTATGTGAAGTATACCGATTGTGTTGATAATGAACAACATATACTAACAAGTGGAAGACTCATGCTGAAAGGACAAAATAGGGCAAAGTTGTGACATTAGCTGAGATGTTATATTAAAATGAGGAGCTAAGGCTAATTAGGGAAAAGAAGTAAAGCAAATGAAATAATAGGCGAGTAAAACATTATTTAGAGAAGGATAATAGATAATGATAATAATATGAAAAAAAAAAATAAACAGAAGAAGAAAAAGAATGAAGCCACCATTGTGAAGCAGCTAAACGCTCGCCTACGGATTTAAAAGTCGTGGGTTCATGACTTTTTGTTTTGTTTTGTTTAAACGACCTTATCTCCCAAGCCGACCTAGCTTTAAATGAGTACTAGGTGAAGTCCTGAAAAATAAAGGTTGCAGGCGTGATGTTTACATCACCCTCTGACTGCTGATTTGTCTATAAAACATAGATTTGTCCTATATGCCCAGGACGTTTGAAATGTTGAAAAGGGTCCTTTACCCTACTTTAGAAGAATAAGAAAAAGAAGAAGCCTTGGTATTGATCTTAATGTGTGCCATCTCCACAGTGAAGACTGGCTGCAGTGCGGCCTAGTACACCAAGGATTATGAACACTTGAAGCTCATTCAGTAGTCACTAATAATAACACAGCCATACTCTGAGCGCACACTGGGTTCCGGGGTCCCATGGTGGGGTACAGAGAATAGACCCACTGCCTCCCCCAACAATCATGTCATAAAATTTGACTAATTAGTTGGTGCTTGAGGTTGTTAGCTAGTGGTCATTAGTTGAGGTTCCAGTTTTATGACAAAAACTCCATAGTTGTTCCAATCCTGCGGCAGAGGAAATCTTACAAAATATTCTTAATATTCCCTTCTATCAGTCTTAGCAACATCTTGAAACTCGCACAAGCAAATTAAATGTGCAAGACAGCCATCAGCTATGCCAACACTTAAGAGTCTGCCACCAGAACTGAGGCTAAAAGTTGATGACGGTAGTCAGTTGTGAAAGGTGGCATTTGCATACACAACACTGCATAAGTACGCTCGTACATTCCAAAAGTAATCGGTCACCTGCCACTTCAAGAGCACACAAAAATACAGCAGGAACAATGCACGGTGAATTCTCCTACTAGAAACTAGAAGCTAAGTTATGTACAACTTTAATGTCATCTATAACATCATCCCAACTCTACTAGCCTAAACAAGTTCATTTTGATTACGATTTATTCAAATAAATCACGTTTGATGTTGTTACAACATAGTTGAGTAAATTGTGTACTTAGGTTCAAGTGTCTTTGTGCATATTAGTTTACTTCAGCTAACAAATATTTAAATCACTTGATGGGGGCTTTTCAGTAATGCCAGGAGAGGAGATAAGTCGGAGGGGTTAAAATGTCAAGAAATGACATAATTGCATTAGCAAACGGTAGATAGATAGAAATAACATTTCTGCCCGTGTGAGTTCTGGGGTCTCATTGTGGGGAAAACAAGAACAGACCCACAGCCTCCCCAACAGGCATGTCATAGAAGTCAAATAATTGGGGAGCTTTCTTCAGAGTCCGAGTGCATCTGCCCAAGCAGCAAGGAACAACCAGCTGCATGCAGATAAGCCAGTAAAACGGATGTACACACAAAACTCAGGCCTCATGGGGATTCAAACCCAAGACCCTTAGGCTCACAAGAAAGTGCTTAGCCAAGGCACTACTGCAAGGTATCCCCTAAGTTTCCATACATAGACAGAACAAAATCTCAAAAAAAAAAAAAACATCATGGTGTAAATAAAAGAACATCTACATGATTGTCAAGCCAATCAGATTAATCCTTTTGCAAATTAAATGCAGTCAAGCCAATCAGATTAATCCTTTTGCAAATTAAATGCACTCTTTTGCAAATCACATGAATCCTTTTGCAAATCAGATTAAGCTTTTCTATGACAATATTGTCTTGATCTACTGTAATATTCAGTTAAGTGACAATTTGTGTGTAAATCAGTAAATCAGTGCATTGATAGTGTGTGTTTGAATCAATCCAGTATGTGAGAAATTATTGACAGTACACAGACAAAAGTTGTAGATATTTATGATGACTATAAGAAGACAAAGACTGGCAGTTAGTGAAGCAGACAAACAGGCACATAGACATGCAGAAAAACAGGTAAATAGGCAGATGGCATAACAGACATACATAAAGGAAAAGAAAGAGAAAGAAAGCAGACATTGGAAAAAAAACAATATGATAAGCCAGAAATAAATTAACAGAGATGGACATAAAAAAGGTAAATAAGAAAACAAATTTAATAAAGAAAGAGCAAGAGTTAAAAGTCTTTGCTGAAGTCAGCCATGTTTCCCTTCACACACTAATATGATTAAACCCAGATTGCCATAACTGCATCTCTAGGCACATTCTAAAGTGTATAAGAGCATGTCACCAACTCTCCCATGAGAGAGACAGATTTGAACATAGCTGTAGCTGTTACACAGCTGCTGCACAGTTCTCATGTGTTCTGTTTAAATGTCACATACAGTGTAAATATTTATCCTCTTTCAGTATACACACCCTTTCTGATCTATTCATGTTATCTTCATTCTTCCAGATATTTGTACAAAAATAAAATACAAAAGATACATCCAAATGTATTCCGAAGCATCCCACATCTTGAGCAGCTGTAAGTATAATTTTTGTTCAGTACTCTTGTGCGGTAAAGTTAAAGTGAGTCCTATAGAACTATAAAGTGCGAAAGGTTAGGCATTCCCTTTTTCTGAGTAGTTAAACACTGTGCCCATGTGGGTTGTATGTACAAACTGTAGAACATGTTTTGCAAGAATGTTCCCTGTACAGCCCATTAAAAGCACACTGATGGAATCTGGAAGAAGAACAAACAAGGCTTTTTACATAATAGGTCTTGGTGTAATGATGCAAGGAGATCAGCTTCATTCCTTGCCACATTGACTTCTAAGACAGAGAGTGCGGACAGTTCTGAAAATCATCTGGTGCCCATCTTGCCAGGTTAGGTTATCCCATTTTCCAGGGGATGTTGTGTCACTATTTAGCTGTATATCTCTTCATTTATGGGTAGGTCTCTATTCCCTTTAACAATTTTGCCTGGGCAGCAGCCTTGCAGCCCACACATGGTAATGTCCAGGTGTCATAACATGTTTAACAAATGCAGCTTACATCTAGGATCTCCTGTTTTATGGTATTTGTTACCTATTTAAACTCACCCCTATTCAAGAGATCACTGGGACTTTTGACATCCTTAGCAACCATTTCACACAACTTTGCTAGTAGAAAGAGGTGACACCCATGTGGGTTCCAGGGCTCCATGTTTGAGAGAAAGTACAGACCCACTCTCTCTATTCCTCCCCCAACAAGCGTGTCACAGGAAGTGACTAATTAGAGGTATTTCCTCAAAAGTTAGAGTGCATCAGCCTGAGAGGCAGGGATCCTTCAGTCTGCATACAAGTAACCCAGATCTGCAAAACAGATGTGCCTGCAAACTCGAATTCTGGATCTAGTCCAAAGCCCAAGAGTGGACAAACAGCCACAAATTTTAATGAACCCTAAAGAAGAAGAAGAAGAAGAAGAAGAAGAAGAAGAAGAAGAAGAAGAAGAAGAAGAAGAAGAAGAAGAAGAAGAAGAAGAAGAAGAAGAAGAAGAAGAAGAAGAAGAAGAAGAAGAAGAAGAAGAAAGAAGAAGAAGAAGAAGAAGAAGAAGAAGAAGAAGAAGAAGAAGAAGAAGAAGAAGAAGAAGAAGAAGAAGAAGAAGAAGAAGAAGAAGAAGAAGAAGAAGAAGAAGAAGAAGAAGAAGAAGAAGAAGAAGAAGAAGAAGAAGAAGAAGAAGAAGAAGAAGAAGAAGAAGAAGAAGAAGAAGAAGAAGAAAAAGAAGAAGAAGAAGAAGAAGAAAAAGAAGAAGAAGAAGGAGAAGAAAAAGAAGAAGAAGAAGAAAAAGAAGAAGTATTGACATGATCAGGGAGGAGGATATTTGTGGATGTAATTAAAGAGTGCGATTATTTTCTTTCAGATTCCTTCACAGCAATGAGCTTTCCAAATTCCCTGAGCACATTTTTGACAGCAACCCAAACCTAAAGAGGCTGTGAGTTTGTTAGTTTCTGGTTGCTGCTGCATTTCAGTTTGCGTTTTTTCAAATGTCATATTGAAAATTTAGTATTTGCATTCCCCTTTCCTCCATGACTCTGCACCATCATTTTCATCATCATGTTGTGGATTAGCGAAGGCTGTCCTATTTCACTTGATCCCCAGAATTATATCAGTTTTTGTATTATTGCTTTTATTCATCAAATAGGACCAATATTATTGGATCGGAATACAAATTATGAATTAATTGACCCTGACTGAGTGAAATTGTATATATTAAAAAAACTTTCACGCCCTGTATTTACCTCCTTTTATGGTCCTGTTAGACAGTATTAGAAAGGGAGAGGGGGTGTTTATCTTGAGCCTGGAGATTTAGGGCTACTTGGCGGTTACAATTGTCATAAGCTGTGTAGTTTAGGATTTTCTTTCCTCAACAGAAAAAAAAACACACACCTCAGTTACCTTACCGAGAATCGAACCCAGTCAACTCAGCTTTAAATGGCTACCAGGTTATGTCCTATCGGCTCGTAAAATATTGACCACATCCCCAGTCTAGTGATCTATAAATTTATGGGTTTAGCAACATATGCTTGATATGACAGGGGCATAAGAAGGGTCCTCCACTTGACTCTGCACATAACCCATTGGGCCAAACAGGCATAATGTTCTGGTACTTACAAAGTTAAGCTAATCTTTAACTCTTTGAGTCCCAAGAAACGCATCATACGTTAATTAGGTTCCGGGAGCCTAGAGGCCCAATGAACGCAAGATGCGCCGATTTTACATCTCTTTTGACTACCCCTTGGGCCTCTGATGCTAAACCCCCTGAATAATCAACTATTTTACTAAGGGCATAATGCGTCCACAATTTTATGACACAGTGTTAATAAGATTATCTTAATATTCTTAGTATAATTTAAAAAATAAATTCACTATTTTAATGATAGAGGGTAAGATTATCTAAATATTCATAGTAAAGTTAATGTCTCAACTACAACCTAAATCAAAGACATATTTGAAACAAAACACATTACATACTTGTTTTAAATAAATAATTAGACAATTGACTGACTGACTTTCTACCCAACCAGGACATCACACAAGCGATAAACACCAGATGATACAATGTGCCACCATGTGGATGAAGATCACCGTGGATAGGTCCCAGAAACCTCGTTCAGCCATTAGGCCATATTTATGGCCGGGCTATATTGCGGCCCCTGGCAAAAGCCAGAGTAGGGCTTAAAATAACAAAAAATTTCATCCTAAAAAGGACGGGAAGCGATTGATGATTAGACAATTTATAAAATAAAAAATTTATACCCTGAGAATTCAATAGACACTATATATCTCATTTATTCCCTGAGGGTTGAATAGGCTCTGTTTTTGAAATATGACTACAACCACATTCTTGTCTTTGTCAGGCGGCTGGACTCCAATTCCCTTGTGTGTGACTGTGACATGATGTGGTTGGCAGACATGCTGAAAGAAAAGAGTACGCACACACAAGCTGCTGTTACCTGTAGATATCCTAGCAAATTCCAAGGGCGATCACTCATGAGCATTGCCAAGGAAGATTTTCACTGTGGTAGGTATTGTGAAAGTAATTACCTCCTCTTTCTTTATTCTGAATTTTTCATTTGAAAGGTATGCAGTCTGTAGACACCCTAGGACAGGTAGATGGGTAGCTGATAATTGTCTGCCATTCTACATCTGCATAAACACAATGTCCTAATCGTTGTGTAAACATGCTGCCGACAAAGGTAAGCTGGATGGCTGAAAGAAAATATCCTTCATGTGAAGCATCCGCAGATTACATTCTTTATGGGATTTAAGGCTGGAGAATTGGTGAGATACTGGTCTTTGTATGTTTATCTCCTGGCTTCTGTCTCTTGTCTGTTTGATGCATGTGTATTTTCTTTTCTCATTCTCCAGCTTCTACTTCTTGTCCCTCCTGCTTTAATACATTCCCTCTAGGATTGAATTCTGAAAGAGTACCACCCTGTGACTTAAAAATACACTATTTAGATGAGAATCCAGCAGAAGTAAATCCAAGAAATCTGTTCAACCATGTAATATTTAAATTAGGGTAACCTGCAGTCCAGTATGAGTGGGTTTGATCAATCCAAGCTGACCTGTTTGTTTTTATCCTCCACCACCATTACTGTCTTCTCTTTATCCTCTTTTTCTTCTCCTCCTGCTTTTTGTTCTTCTCATCCAACTATTTCTCTGTCCAATATCAACACAGCAAGGAGATCAAAATTAGAATTTTGAGAGCATGCATCTTCCCTGTAGCAACATGCGGATGTGTCGTGGACTATCTCCCAGTCCTTAAGAAAGAGAATAGGTTCTTTTGAGCTGAAATGCTATAGAAAGATACTCAGAATATCTTGGACAAAGAAAAGGAGAAAAACATCAAAGAAGATTGGCTAATAAACAGCATCCTGTCTTGGTCATATCAAGCGCCACAACGGATTGGAAAAAATTATAGCAGAAGGCATAGTACCAGGAAGGAGGGGCAGGGGCCAACCAACATGAAGATGGACACAGCATATAAGTGACTTCTTGAGTACGAAAGTACATGAGGCAGGAGAGCTGGTAAGAGACCGAGTTTCTTTTGGGCAGACTGTGATGAGAGCGACGTTCTGCAAAGGACCTGCTACATGATGATGATGATATCATCAAATGAAGCATAAACACTGAAGAAGCACAATGTGACCTCCTTTAGACTTGTTTATTGTTGACTTGTTTTTGCACTAATAATATAAACAGGTTTGAACAGCCAGTCTCAGACTTATCCCTTGACTTGATTCACCACCAATACATAATTGTATGTAAACCATGCAAGATTAATAAAACATTTACTACTTTTACTCAAGAAATTAATGAGGCAGATATTTAAAAAAAAAATATTTGTTTAAAACAAATTTAAAATGTGTTATTTTCTCAATTTTTCAGATTACTCGGTTAGTTGACATATTGTCCTGATCACATGACCAATCATTCAGTCCACTAGGGCTAAAAACACCTCTTCAGTATTCCTCAGCATGTAGTAACCGGTGACACCACTTGTGTGTGTTTTGTGTGTGTTATTATTCTTTATCTTTGGACATAATATTCTTGTCTTACTTCACCCTTAGTTTCTGTTCCCTTTTGTTTGTCAAGTATGCATAACTGTCTTTGTAAATAATGTTACCATTTAGCAAGTACGGGGTGACCCAATTGCAGTGAAGTTGAAATTGAAACCTCAACTAAAACTAAGTGTTACCATTTACAATAAGAAAAGTGGATTGTAACACTCGTTGTCACTTTACAGATTTGTTGATTTACATACACATTATCATTTTACTCATCTTTTAAAAATTACACACACATTGTCACTTTACTGATTTTTGTCTGTTACATGCACACTGTAACTTTACTGATTTGTTGATTTACACACACTTGGTCATTTTACTGATTTGTTGATTTACACACACTTGGTCACTTTACAGATTTGTTGATTTACACACACTTGGTCACTTTACTGATTTATTGATTTACACACACTTGGTCACTTTACTGATTTATTGATTTACACACACTTGGTCACTTTACTGATTTATTGATTTACATATCATATAAACATTTTCTTGCTACCAGGATCTAATTAAGGTTAGTATTATTATTATTATTATTTTTTTTTTTTAAATCACATGATGTACACACATGCACACGCAAACACACACACACACACACACAAAGAGAATGGTGACAGAAATACAGAAAGGTAGAGATGCATGGACATATGCACAAATGAATGAATATCTTGTAATTAAGTTTGTGAGTATCAAACAAATCCCTATACCTTCTTGTTATTTCCAAAGATATTTTTACTATCTTCTTTCACCTACAATCTTTATATTATCTTCTTCTTCTTTTTCTGCCTTTCTATCCCCTAATGGAGCATAGACTCTCAACCAACTCAAGCCAAATCGTTCTATCCTTTGCCATTACATGGAGATCTCTCCATGTCCTCCCCATCTTACTAACTTCATTCTCCAGCTCTCTTCTCCATGTGTTAGCCTTCCTTTATTAACATTCCAGGTTTTCCTAGCTGAGAGGAGGTATATCATCGATCCAGACTCCTTTCGTCTTTCTCCACACTGTGTCATACTTCTTCTTCTTCAAGAACCTTCCCTCATCTTGGTTGGCTGGGTTTTATTTGCTTCTATTTTTGATTTATCCATGGTTAGTTGGTTTTTGTGGTTATTGTTTTTACAGGATGAGGTAGCCAACCTCAAGCTCAACCCTACCCTTAGTCGCCTCTTACGACATGCCTGGTAGGGTGCAGTGTCACTATTCTTTGCTTCCCATGATCTTTATATTTTACTGTATCCTAATTATTGGTTTTATTTTTCTGACCAATAATGTCTGTTGATCTTCTTCAAATTTAAGTATTTGTTGTTTTTAAACTTAACTCAGGTTGCCACTGGCACTGTTGACATGAAACTCTTCACTGGCTACTGAGAAAGGAGATAGAGCACTTATAAGAATGTCCTGAGTGCATTGATATTAATTCCTGATTCATTCATTCATTGCTGCTGTCCTTCCTATTTTTTTTTTTTTTTAAACTTTTTTAATTTCCTTCTCCATATGTTTTGTTTTGAAGGTATATCTTTTATTCCTTTGACCTTGTGTGTTCCATTGCAACAATGTTCTAGTGAAATATGCCCTGAAAAATATATCCAAAGGACGCTAACTGCCATTGACCTCTGAAGCGATGCTTGCCACTCATTGGTGTAAATAAGGGTCATATAATTTTTACTATTTGCTTAGAGAATGTGTCAAGATACTTAAAGGATGACTCACAGAGCAATATATATGAGATTTTTCAGGAAGCCATTATTATAAAATTGTACGATGACACGTCTTCATAATATCAACTAAAATAGTGGTGTCCTAAATGGAAGACACAATTTGTGATCCCTGTTAAGAAAAACAATTTGTGCCAACTGAATACAAATCCTTACCTGTACACAGCGTGCTGCCAAAGTTGGGGCAATTAGTTTTAAAACCTTAATCCTTTTTAAAAATATTGTTTCAGCAACGGTATGTAATGATATTCTGAATTTACAACTCTCTGTGTCTTTTGTCTTGGTTTCATACTCTGACAGACTAATGTTTGTCTGTCTGTTTATGTTATTTTCCAGTTTGTATTGATGTCTTCCTATTGTTCACTTGCCTTTTCCCTGTAAAGTGGCTTTTATAATGGTGTCATGCCTTTAAATATGGCAGAAGTATTTCACTTGTCTCTTGTTTCTGTTTCTTTATTCTAGTCTCTCCAGAACCTCTGATTTTGATTGTTTATATTTCCAAGGAATTCAAAATCTTCTTGTATATATCTGCATGGCCTCTGTTAAACTTTCTGTTTGCTTGTTCATTGTCCAGGTTTCTACACCATATTGTAGTGCAGAATTAAAAACCTATCTAGAACCTCTGTTTTTGCTTTGTCTGTTTTTATGAAATTCAAAATATTCTTGAAAAATTGTATATTTTACAGTTCTCATTTTTAATTTATTGTTCAACTACTTAGTTGTTTATCTCTCTCTCTCTCTCTCTCTCTCTCTCTCTCTCTATATATATATATATATATATATATATATATATATATATATATATATATATATATATATATATATATATATATATATATATATATATATATATATTTTTTTTTTTTTTTTTCAAATTGCTGAAAATATATTTGGCCACTCATTTCTCTTAAAAAAATAAAAAAAAGTCTATTTCACTTTTGTTATCATCTGGCATTAAATTAATATTTATTGTTTACTTATCACCATTACTCTTTTTAATCTTCATACAAGTAATTTTTGGTGATTGATGTTTGACAAATGAAAACTCTTGCATCTAGATTGCTTCTGAAACCTAAGATTTCACTATTTCTGCAGTGGAGAGTTATTTATTTTCTTGAAATATGTTGTTGTTGAAAATATAATAATTTTATGACAGAAAAACCAAAGATAACGATGCAGCCAAAAGATGTGGACGTCACTTTTGGAAACACTGTATATTTCACATGCAGAGCTGAGGGTGCCCCTAACCCTGAGATCATGTGGTTCCATAACGAGTATGTATACTTTGTACTATAAGTCTATTATGTATACTTTGTACTATAAGTCTGTAGTATATCTCAAGATGTTCAATATATAGGTTGACCATATCGCTGGGACAGTGTAATTTTTAGGTAGGCCTAAACTGTCGAGTTGATATTAATGGAGAAAAAAACGTCTATTGTCCCACTTGACGTTGAGTGTTGATGGGATGATCTGGGTCTGCCTAAAAACACATTACTTGTGTTCACCCTCTCTATATATTTCTTCTTCTTCTTCTTCTTTCATTCGCTTGAAATAGATTATCTATATCTGCAATATTGTATCTAGTATAAACTTTACTGTCTTTTGTAATTCACTTAGCGACTTGTAATGTTTGACTTGCACAAATGTTTTTCTTGGCTAAAAGTCTTGCCTTGATATGTTGTATTTGGGACAGTCTTGGAGGACACGATCTGTTGTCTCAGGTGCCAATCCACATGTGCACATGGCTGATTTTATATTTTGTTTACATGTGGCTGCAAAGTGGATTGTGTCCTGTTTTAAGTCATGGAGTAATAACTTGCTCTGGCCTGTTTTATGTCTGTATATGAATTTTGTTGTTTAGTTTGCTGAAGATTAATATATTAAAATTTTTTTTTTATTGAGACTGAATTTATTGAGACTTATTTATCATCATCTTGGCTCAGAAACATGTTTATATCACTGTCTGTGGAAACATAAGGCAGTTAGTGTTGCTGCTGCTATATGAGAATTCCACGCAAGCAACAGACCATTGTATTTCATTTGCAGACTAGATTAAACAAACTCCACAGCCATCTCACCTTATTGTGTCATGACCTAAAGTATAGGAACACCCAATACTTCACACTGTCGTGACAGTTTCTGTCAATGGATTAATATTTGCTTTTAAATATCTGCACTTTATTTTTTTTTTTTTTTTTTTTTTTTTACGTATCCAGAAACCATGAGTTGTAAACCCTTTAGCTCGGTACTATGGATATCGCAACCCTTCGGCCTTGATTCCATTATAGGTACCGTTAATCTGGGAGAAATGTGGCTTTTCTGCCTACCCCCAGGAGTGAACCCGGACCACAAGGAGTTCGTCACCCGGCCGCCGCGAACGTCAGGTTTAACCAACTTCGCTAGAGAGCCGGGATCTGCACTTTAATAATTTTATGAACTCTTGGCCTTGGAGCCTTGTGGACCAGTATGGTGGTCAATATTTTCAAAAGTTCTTCTTCTTCTTCTTCTTCGCGTTCACCAGCTGTAAACTCTGGCGGAAGGTTCTGGTTGCTCGTCCACTACTGAACTGCAGTCCTGCTCCAAAAGCTGAGTGTTGCGTGTGCATCAGTTTTACAGATCTCATTCTCTTGAATACAGACTGTTGGTTCCTTGCCTCTCCGGCAGATGCACTCCGACTTCAAAGGAAGCTCCCCAATTAGTCAACTCTTACGACATGCTTTTGGGGAGGCAGTGGGTCTATTCTTGTTTTCCCCACAATGGGGCCCCGGAAACCACACGGGGGTTTCAAAAGTTAAGATTGATAATTGTTTGCTTTTATTTGTTTTGCCCTGGTTATAATTTTTAATATCTCTCTTATTATGTATGACAATATATTGTTTGAAATGAAAATAATTGAAATAATAAACCATTTATGCGAAATTATAAACTTAAAGTGCTTCACTAGAACATCATGTCCAATCTTCCGCTTAGAATATACATCCAACATAACTGAATAATATACATCCAACATAACTGTTTTATGTGGTTGAATGGGAAGTCTGGAATTTGCTGCTCTTGGATTCTCATCTAAAAAGTGCCTCTTTGAGACACTGGGAGCCAGTCTTTTATGCTGCAACAGTGGAGGGAAAAGCTGAAAAGGAATTACAAATATTACTGGCACTAAATTATCCAACTGATTTTTTATTTTCAAATTAACAACAGGAAATCACTACTTTGAATTGCTAGTTTTCATCGTTATTTAAAATTGTTTGATCATTTTCAGTAACATGATCAACACGAATGTGGAAGACAGATACAGCATTCTTGATGATGGGACCTTGATGATAGAATCTGCCCAGGACTCAGATAAGGGAGCATATGAATGTATGGCCAGGAATGCTGCAGGCATGGCCAAAACTAGTAAAGTTGAGCTAAGGTATATGGGTGACCAAGGTGAGACTTACTGTTAATATAACTATGTGTCTGCAAGTGCATGAGAATATGTGAGTGTGATTTTTGTGTGATCAAAATGTATAGTATAAAATTTACAGTATAACTTTATTTTTTGTGGTGATAGTTGCTGGCACAGGTAACTGGCAGAGGAGGAGGAAAACTACTCCTTCAAAGGAGAGTTCTATTTCATAATAATGTTGATCAACCGTTTAGGTATTTATGGTAATTTTTCTCTTGTTTGTGTCCTGGGAAGTGGTTTGAATGCTGGCTCAGTGGCTAACAATAATGTCTTCTACTTCCTCTAATACTTGAGACCTTTGCTTCATTAATATAGCCACATCAGCTGTCTTTATTTATTACAACTTGTAGATTCAGCCATGTTGTACTTGCTTGGCAAGATCAGAAACACAAACACCAGTCTTATGTTTAATTATTATTTTGTTCTTCATTTCTACTTTTATACACCAAGGCTGCTTTAGATTACTATCACCGAGACTTTTTCACTTTCTTCTGAGCCAAAATGAGGATTAATGAAAAAAGCAACAACAAATTTTTAAAAAAATTAAGAACAACACGGTGACAAACAATGTTTACAGCACATAGCCAAAAACATGGCACCAAATCTATGCCTATGTGTTTGTGGGTTAAAGCATTGCTCATGTGTCGAGTCGAAATTTATTTTAGGAAATTGTGTTTGTGGGTCAATTTGTTCGTGACAGTAGCCTTTGGTAACTAGAATTACAATTGTATATTATATCAAAAAGTAATCATACATGATCTGTGGTTGTGAAAAATTTGATTACTCACCTGAAACTCATTCAGATTAGTCTTTCTTTAGGCCTTCACACACTTCTTCTTAAACACTCTGCCTTTCAATATATTAAGGAGGTAATGTCTCTTAGTAATTTTCTGTAATTTGTGTATGAGTCCGTTTTTTCAGTCTAGCTAGTTCTTGTCCATGTTTCGGAATAATATAATGTCACTTGCCAGGGTTTACATCCAGATAATTCTTTGTGTAAAATCTAGTTTGGGATTCTTAGCTGGCAAGATTTTTTTTAAATCTTGAAATAAAAATAAATATTATGCCAGAATCAGTCACCTAGAGCTCATGAAAGAAACTAAAAAAAAAAAATCTATCAAATGAGGAGGTAAGGACAAAAGTCTGGCACCAGATGGAATACACATTGGTAGAACCTGATTATAGTTGAACTATGCTTAAATGTGCTTCCCAAAAAATTTGTTTTAGGCTGGTTTTGTCAGACAAGAATATGCTAATTAACTAATTAAGGGCTTGTTGAAACTGGATGTGTTGAGTTGAAAGGCACATGTATTGTGGCCTACATTTAAACCACAATGCAACATGCCAACATTCCTATTAAAGGCCAACAAAGAAGAAGAGAAATGTTTAGTGTTAACTAACTGGTTGATGATGTTTGCTCGAACTGAAAATGAGGGCAGCATAAGTAGAGAAATATGCATCTTTTTCTGTTTTTGTCATTGTGTTTTTATTTTGTTATTTAACTTTTTTTTTCTAGAAATGCCATTCAGTTTTTTTAAAACTATTCCATTTTCAGAAATTCCAAAATTTATGGAAACTCCTAGTGACATTACTGTCATAGAAGGTGAGGATGCAGAACTTGTTTGCCATGTTATGGGAAATCCTCGTCCAGATATCACATGGACTCTCAACTCTGACCCAGTCACTGGCAATATCCGGGCACGAAAGTTGGAAACTGGGTCACTGGTGATTTCTAATGTACGATTGTCTGATGCAGGGACATATGAATGTAGTGCCTCAAATTCTGTGAAGACTATCTCATCTTCAGCTCGTGTCAGAGTTCTAGGTAATACCATGTGTTACTTAATTATTATCTTTCAGCTATTGATCAGGAGTCATCTCATTCCAAGTCTTAGTAATGTCCCCTATCATCATCATCATCATCATAAACCACTTCTGCCGTTGAGCAACATGGGGAGGAATAATTTGCGATCCAGTCCACGCATGCTGCCACTGGCTGTTGTCAAGGCGTAGATTGTCTTTAATGTAGTCGATCTATATTTTCCGTGGCCATCCTCTTGCTCTTGTAGCTGATTTTCTGAGATGTGCTTGTGATAGTATTTGATCTTGCTGCATTCTAATGAAATGACCAAAACACTTGATCTGCTGTTTCTTGATGAATCTAGTACAAGGTGTCATTTACACAATTTGCCTGATAGTTTCATTATTGACCTCGACTTCAAATTCCTCCATATTTCTTGAGTAATTTCACGTGAACAATAGTGTTCTCCTATATAGGTCTCATTTCTTTAATGCATTTTTTTGTATTTCATATTATTTTACCACTTTCAATTTGGAAAGGGGATGGTCAGCATCAGAGGCCCAAGGAGTGGTAACGAGAAGCGGGACTTATCACGAACGAACATGCCCGCATGGTGAGAGTTCCTTCCCCTCTCATTCATGCAGGGGCTGGTCGCACAGCCAGTCTTTTGTTGTGGGGCTGTTACGAGATGGCTTCATTCGATGTTCACTCACTGTCTATAATGTTTTTTAAGGCTGTGTTGTCATGGATCTCTTTGAGACACCGCAGGTGCCTGTGTATAAGTAAGAAGTACTGCGAGGGAGGGGGTGGGGGAGAGCACTAAAGGCAGGACTGTTCATGAGTATTTAAACTCATGTTTTTCTTTTTCTACATTCCTTGATGGTGGCTTTTCCCCGGAAAAAGAAGCCACTGATAAGCAATGTAGAAATACAAAAACATCTCACTTTCAATTCTCAAAAACTGTCAGGCAAGTGGGACAACGTGGAAATAATCATTCAATGAGCGGTGACAACACGAGAACATAGAGAACGGTTAAACTGTAGAACATAAGGAATACATGACACCCCTGCAATATAGGATAGGCCATGGGACCGGCTGCGGCATAAATGGGAGGGAAAAGAACTCTTGCTGTGTGGACATGTTCGTGATAAGTACCCGAGAAATGTAAAATCGGTACGTCTTGTGTTCACTGGGCCTCTAGGTAGGAACCCATTAACGTATGATGCATTCACTGTGACTGAAAGAGTTAAACCCTCATTAACACAAAGAACAAATGATTAACATGAATGAAATTTTGGTCCCATCAGGGATTTATTAAATTATTATTAGTGCCTGATAAGCATAGATGTTTTTTAACATGAACTCAATTATCGGTCACTGGAATTTGTATTAATGTGGTTTTACTATATATACATCTGTACAAACAATTTTGTGACATTCTAAAACTGTTATTGTTATCATATTGTGCCATAGTGATAATAATAGTCTTTTTTTATACTGTTTTTTTTTTAAAGTAAACATCTGTGTATTAATGGATGCTTCTATAGCAATTACATTTTATTTCCTGATTATTTTTTCATCTTCATCATTTCCACAAGTGATCTAAGAGCTTGTTTATACATAACTATGAGATTTGTACCTTTGGGCTGACACATCTGACTTCATCTGGCATTTTTGTCCCGGTTACCTTGCTGACATTTTACCAATTATTATTTTATTTTTATTTTATTAAATTTTAGTATTTTTATTAAATTTTAAGTATTATATTTTTATTAATTTGATTCTGTTAAGATGTTAACTAGATGTTAATCTAAGGATGCAGTTTGATAGAATCCCTTTGTCTTCAGGATATGTGGTGTGTACTTTATCAAGGGATATGTGGTGTATACTTTATCAAGGGATATGTGGTGTATATTGTATCAAGGAATATGTGGTGTATACTGTATCAAGGAATATGTGGTGTATACTTTATCAAGGGATATGTGGTGTATACTGTATCAAGGAATATGTGATGTATACTTTATCAAGGGATATGTGGTGTATACTGTATCAAGGGATATGTGGTGTATACTTTATCAATGAATATGTGGTGTATACTTTATCAATGAATCTGTGGTGTATACTTTACTAATAAATATGTGGTGTATACTTTATCAAATAATATGTGGTGTATACTTTATCAATGAATGTGTTGTGTATACTTTATCAATGAATATGTGGTGTATACTTTATCAAGGGATATGTGGTGTATACTTTATCAAGGAATATGTGGTGTATACTGTATCAAGGAATATCTGGTGTATACTGTATCAACTACACCCTATAGATTAACTGAGAAATATAACCTTTGTAACCAGTTCTTCTTCTTATTTTTCTTCTGAGTTGAGTTGAGTTGAGTCAGGAATTGATAACACAGAACTCAGGGCATTCCCATATGTGCTCCATCCTCATCTTCACCAGCCAGTGCAAAGTTCCAATACTGACGGTACTGGTCACAATCTGGTTTTATGTCCGTCTTGCCTTTCCTCTGAGTGTAGTGAGCCGGCCAGACCCTCTGGTTACACCCAGTTGCCTCATTCTCTCCAGGCCATAATAATCTTGTTTGTCTACTGATTCCGTTGCTTGTTCCTGCAGGGCCTTGACCACATCTGCCTTGTCATGTATCAATTCACTACCCAATGGTGCAGATCCAGCCAGTCTGTCTGCCTGTTTATTACCCACTATGCCGGCATAGCCTGCAGAAAAAATCCAAAGTATGCTCACTACCTGTGACCTTTCTAGTGAAGCTTGCCACTCTGCTCGAAGCATCCCTGTCTTCACTTTCTCAGCATGCTTTCGGAGTCTGTTACAGTTAGGACATGTGTATGGATCTTGTTCTCTGGCCACCGGAGAGCTGCAGTTACTGCCCCCACCTCCATTATCATGCTAGATGTTGTGATGTCGTATGATTGGCTGTCTTGCACTAAAGATTTTTCATTGGCTTTCGCTACGAACCCCAGACACTTCTTTTTCCTCCCAACACCGAACCATCTGTATAGATAATCAGATCACCTGGACGTGAATTGTCATGGATCAACTGTTGGATTTCCACGTCCACAGCACCTGCTGGCCACTCTCTGCACTCCCGGCCCAATGTGATCATAACCCTACACAGGTTTATTTTTCTTCTGTGTTAATCCAAAGATGTAAGTGCATTGTTCCTATTTACAGCATGGCTGTGATATTTAGACCGTGCCCGTTTATAATCAGTTTTATATAACATACAAAGACAGCAAATCAAATGGTTTGCCCACTTACAGTGAATGTATTGTGACGCCATACCACACACAGCTTACATACAGAAGAGTAGAGAGATTTAGAGCACAAGATAAATAAACAACGAGATGGAAAGATAATATCAGAGAAACTCTATAACAGCACAATGTGTCTAGGACCAAGGTGGCCAGAAAAGCAAGAAGCAGAATCTTAAATTTCCCTCAACACCCAACGTGGTAAAGGAGAAGAAGAAAACTTTTATAACCTAAGAAATCTATATTATATGATAATGTCTTCTTTGTCTGATGATGTCATAGCAGTTTTATGTAACAAAATCTAATCTTTATTTTTTTCATCACTTTAGATCAGCACATTCCTTAGTTATTAATAAATTGATTTTGTGTGTCTTATCTCATTGTAGTGAAGCCAGTGATTGTAGAGCCTCCAGTAGATGTCAGTGTGGTTCTGGGAACAGTAGTCAATTTCACTTGTGAAGCCAGGGGTGACTCACAGACTGTGCTGACATGGACAAAGGATGGTAGGCAAACTGATTAAGACAATGAAGTTCTTCTTCTTCAGCCTTCCTGACCCATAAGGTTCTTTGCTTAAATCGTTCAGTCCCATGCAACTTGTGATGCATAATAGACTTGTCCACATGAAAATGATCAGCCTCATTTTACTTTTGGTCACAGCACACTAAAGAAATTTGGCTTAAGTATTGGCTACTTTCACTGATTAATTTGCCTGTTTGAATGTTATGCATTAATGACTTTCATAGTAGTTATTCGTTTCCTAAGGCATTTGCTGTGAGAACCTCCTGGGATTGAAAGAGTTAAGAAATCATCTGCCTGCATTCATTTATGTGATTTCTCTTCACAGTTTCTGACTTCTTGGTCTGCCTCTTGGTCTACTACCTTTCAACTATTTTGCATACACAGTTTTCATCGCTTAGTTTTCTGTATTTCCCTCTGTATGCCCCAGCCGCTAAAGTCTATTAGCCTTCCTGATGCCAGTGATTAGGGTTGTTCTGGTTAAAACAATGTTAAATTTACTGCTTTAAATCTTAGATTATATAGAAACAATGTTTACTCTTCTAAACTTCTTGAGGCTTATTATTCTCTTATATAAATCTGTCTGTCCCAAGTTTTACTTTAATTCATCCTATCCCGTATGTGCATTATTTTAACTCATTGAGAGCTCATAAGATTCAAAATTGTAACTTCAAAGTAGGGAATCATTTTGTGAGTCAAATGTGCTGACATTAAAAATGTAAATTATCACTTCTGTCAGTTTTAGTTCACAAAAGCTGCCATATTAGAAAGAGAGATGGAGAGAGAGAGAGAGAGAGAGAGAGAGAGAGAGAGAGAGAGAGAGAGAGAGAGAGAGAGAGAGAGAGAGAGAGAGAGAGAGAGAGAGAGAGAGAGAGAGAGAGAGAGAGAGAGGAGAGAGAGACAGAGACAGAGAGAGACACACACACACAAATAAATATATAAAATAAAAATAAAAAAACTCATCACATGTGAAATTAAATACTTGAGAAAGACTGCTATGGTCCTAGATGGGACAGGGTTAAATGTTTGTTAATCTTTAATTAAGAATCAACATCACAGAACATCAGACATTCACATAAGAGCCCCATCCCCATCTTCAGCAGCAAGTGAAGAGTTACAGTTTGATGGTAACAGTAACAGTCTAATTGTAAATCCATCTCACCTTTCCCTTAAGTGTTGATTATAGTGCCATTCTCTTAAGACCATGATGATCCATCTGTGTTTCCGCACTGTTCACTTGCCCGCAGAGAGAGCTGTTTCAACATCTAGCCTTTTAATGCATCAATTCAGCATCAAGTTGTGCAGACTCAGCCAGTCTATCCGTCTGTTCATTTCTTAAAACACTGGCGCATCGGGAAAATGTAAAAAGGATGATGCTAACTACCCAGGACCTCTAACATATAGTGCTGGACTCATACTGAAGCTTAGTGGTTGATGTGAAAAAAATCATGGCAGCTGCCTGTACTTTCCAGAACATTTCCTGGTACCCTTTTTAGGGTGGGTTGACCTGGGAGACGAGGTTAGTATTTTTTTGCAAATCCTCCTGGCACAAATTCGAACCCAAGCCTCTAAGGGTTGGTAGGTGAGCATCTAGCCACCGTGATACAGTGGCTTTCCTTGCTGTCCATTTTTTTGTTTGATTTCTTGTAAAATGATATAATGAAGATTTTAGTTTATTCAGTGGCATTGCATTTATTTTTAGGTGAAAATCTGCGCAATAATGGAAGATATGAAGTCTTGAAGAATGGGCAGATGTTGATAATTCACAATGCTGTAGCTTCAGACCAAGGAAAATACACCTGTAAAGCTGAGAATGCTGCTGGGTCAACTACTGCAAGTGGCACATTGAGAATTGTTGAAAATGGTAGGTAAAAGTTGTTTTGTTTCCATAAATTCAACTCACCATGATTATCCATGAAATGTTTTGCATACTTTATTTCTTAAATTTTGCTTGTGTTTAGGGAGTTGAGTTAAGAAACAACATGGAAGCACTCTTGATGTTCCCACAAGCACTCAATTCCATCTTTAGCAGCCAGCGTAGAGTTCACGTTCCGTGGTACCAGTAGTAGTCTGTATTTCCATCTCGTTTTTTCTCTGAGTATTAAATGTTGGCCAGATGCCCTGGTCATTCTTCACTGCACTATTCCCTTCAGACCTTGATGATCTTCTTTAGTGCTTCCACACTGTTCCTTTCCTCCCTAAGGGCTCTGGCCACAACTTGCTTGTCAAGCATCAGATCACAACCAGATAGTGCGTAACCAGCTAAACAGCAAACAGTCGGCTTTAATTTCCCAGCACACCTGAATAGCCTGGAGACAGTATCCAAAGGACGGTAAATATCATGAAGCTCTGAAGCGATGCTGTTGGACTGTTTGTTTTATCAGCTATTATAGCTGATTTATGCATGTATATGTTACTGGGTTTGCTAAGATTGCAGTCTGTGTCAGTTTTTCCACACGGGACAAGAGATGGACATTCTGTGTGGTTTTCATTGGCACAGGAATGAAGCAGCTATGGGGTGACCTGTTTGCTATGAAGTTGGAACTGTGACCACCTGATTACTGTAATGTACCACGCATGTAAAAAGCGATTAAAGGGGGTTGGTGTGGTGATCAGTTGATCAATATGTCACCTCTGGGCTGCTAGCTAAAGGTATACCATACAGAGATTTAAAAAATCTCAATCTGAATGTCAGACCAACAAGGCAGATCTCAGATACCCCAATCAGCTTCCAAAGAAGATATAATCAGAGCACCTGTAACGGCTAAACCAGCCAGGTGTAACCTGCAGTTCTATGTGAGTATGGACATTGATGATGTGGCACTGGCTTAAAAAACTCCATAGACAGTTGAGTCAAAAATCAAGCCAATCATGAACAAGTATACACTATCCTTGATACCATTTGAGTTGGGGCTAGTGCTCCATTGTTAGATGAAAGACAGAAAAAAGAACAATAGTTTACAGTACTGGGGGGGGGGGGGGGGGGGGGGGTTATTTAAAAAAAAATTGATTATATATTCAACTTTCAAGTTGTCACACAGTTTTGTTATTGTATATTCAGCTGCTCCAAGTTTCTCACAGACAAGTGATTTAATATCTACGGCTGCTGGCTCAGATGTGACTCTACATTGTGCTGCTGAGGGAAAGCCTGACCCTCTCTATGACTGGATGAGAGATGGCAGAGTTTTGCAAAATAGAAATCGTATTTCTATTCAGGTAAAAAATCTTGTTTGTTTGTTTGTTTATGTAAAATTAATATTCATTATTTGGCAGATCTTTGGCAGAATATTGCTTCCATTATGGTCGACTAAAAGCCTTTTGATCTTTTGTCAAATGTCTCCAGTAACATGTAATCCACTTCTTGCTAATCAATCTCTGCCTCTTTTTTCTAGAAGACATTTGTTTAATGCTGTTCTTTACTTCATTTAATGCAGCTGAGATATTGCAGTTTCCTTTACAAAGTGCAAACAGATCCTGCACTGACAGGATAGCCACATTGTTCATAATAATGGAATAAATGGTTATATGGTTAGTTGCATATCCTTTACAGGAGGTTGCAGAACCAACCCCAGCAGCCCCTGGCTGTTGTGTGGTTTTTCTAGGCAAATTTACATCCAGTAGTTTGCCATTGCTTTCTGGACGGTCGGCTTTATTGATACCACTGTCGAAACCAACGCAAGGCGCATGGCCCGCAGCTGGGATCGAACCCAGCATCCTGGCATTAGGAAGCGTTCGCACAGAGCTGACAATGGAATAAATAGTAATAGAATAAAGCATTTAAATCAATTGGCTAATCCTCCGTGTAGGTTCCGGGGCCCCATTGTGAGGAAAACAAGAATAGACCCACTGCCTCCCCAAAAGCATGTCTTAAGAGTCGACTAATTGGGGAGCTTCCTTTGAAGTCGGAGTGCATCTGCCAGAGAGACAAGGAACCAACAGTCTGTATTCAAGAGAATGAGATCTGTAAAGCTGATGCACACGCAACACTCAGGTTCTGGAGTTGGACTGCAGTTCAGTAGTGGACGAGCAACCAGAACTTTCTGCCAGAGTGTACAGCTGGTGAACGCGAAGAAGAAGAAGAATTGGCTAATGTCTATTGGATTTGTAAATAAGGAAAAAGCCCTTGACAGCATTTTAGGGAATAACCCTGTAGACTGACGGGTTTCTATGCAGTGTAACAGAAGAGTTGAGTTGAGTTGAGTCAAGAATTGACATCATAGCACTAGGGGCATTCCCATGTGTGCTCCGTCCTTATCATCAGCAGCCAGTGCAGAGTTTCAATACTGATGGTACCAGTCATCATCATCCCATAACACTACGTGCCGTTGGATCACCAGTTTCTGTTGACTGTCTGATCATCTCTCTCCACCCCTGGCGGTCAGTTGCGATGGACTTAATGGTTGCATGCCTGAGGCCTGTCCAGTCAGTCAGGTTCTGGACTCAGGTCTTTCTTGGTCTGCCTCTTCTCCTCTCTCCCTTTACTGAGCCCTATAGTATTGTTTTTGAGAGGCTGTTAGATCTTATTGCATGTCCATCTGTTGCATTTTTTACTTTTTCACTGTAGTTAAAAGAGGTTCTTAGTTGCCAATGAGCTGTATAATTTTATGGCGAACTTCTTCGTTTGTAATATGGCCTCTGTATGATATGCCAAGAATTTTTCTGAAAAATTTCATTTCTAATGCTTTTTTACTTTAAAGTTCAGCTGTTAAGGTCCATGTTTCACAGCCATATGTAAATGTACTAATATCTAGTGCTTTAAGCAATCGAATCTTAGTTTTACATGAAATGTTTTTGGATTTCCATAATGTTTGCTGCTTGGCAAGGGCTGATGTTGTCTGGGCAATCCTAGACATGGTCAAAATCTGGTTATATGTCCGTCTCACCTTTCCTCTGAGTTTAGTGAGCCTGCCAGACCCTCTGGTTACACCCAGGTGCCTCGTTCTCTCCAGGCCGTAATAATCATAAGATGATAAGTTTAATAAAGACAGTGTATGGGTACATAAAATGCAAAATTTATTCACAGAAAAAATAACAAATACATTCAAAATAAGGATAGGAGTAAGGCAGGAATGATTGTAGCAATATCTCGTCATCCCCTTGTGGGATACAATTTTTAGTTATTTTGAAGCCCCACCCTGGCCTTTGCCGTTGCAAATAAATAAGGCAAATTATGATCTATTTCCTTAAGTGCTGCCGCACTTGAAATGGTAGATTATTGCACATGGTTAGATAGCAAATTCAGTAAAGTGTGAACAGAAGTGTTAAATGAGAAGACAAAAAGTAGGAACTTTCTAGCTCTGTGATAGGTGTAGGTGAAAGGCAGTTGAGAAAGAGGAAAATTATTTAAATGGGAGAGTAGCATTCAAAGATACTTGAAAAGTTATGAGTGAACTATGCCATCATAGGGAGAGATAGAATGATGAAGATCTGACTATGCCATCATAGGGAGAGACATATAATGATGAAGATTGGACTATGCCATCATAGGGAGAGACATAAATTGATGAAGATCTAACTATGCCATCATAAGGAGAGACATAGAAGGATGAAGATTGGACTATGCCATCATAGGAAAGACATAGAATGATGAAGATCTGACTATGCCATCATAGGGAGAGACATAAATTTATGAAGATTGGACTATGCCATCATAGGGAGAGACAAAGAATGATGAAGATATGACAATGCCATCATAGGGAGAGTTATAGAATGATGAAGATCAGACTATGCCATCAAAGGAGAGATATAAAATGGTGAAGATTGGACTATGCCATCAATAGGAGAGACATAAAATGATAAAGACTGGACTATGCCATCATAGGGAGAAATAGAATGATGAAGATCTGACTATGCCATCATAGGGAGAGACATATAATGATGAAGATTGGACTATGCCATCATAGGGAGAGACATAAATTGATGAAGATCTAACTATGCCATCATAAGGAGAGACATAGAAGGATGAAGATTGGACTATGCCATCATAGGAAAGACATAGAATGATGAAGATCTGACTATGCCATCATAGGGAGAGACATAAATTTATGAAGATTGGACTATGCCATCATAGGGAGAGACAAAGAATGATGAAGATATGACTATGCCATCATAGGGAGAGTTATAGAATGATGAAGATCAGACTATGCCATCATAGGAGAGATATAAAATGGTGAAGATTGGACTATGCCATCAATAGGAGAGACATAAAATGATAAAGACTGGACTATGCCATCATAGGGAGAGATAGAATGATGAAGATCTGTCTATGCCATCATAGGGAGAGACATAGAATGATGAAGATTGGACTATGCCATCATAGGGAGAGACAAAGAATGATGAAGATCTGACTATGCCATCATAGGGAGAGACATAGAATGATGAAGATCTGACTATGCCATCATAAGGAGAGACATAGAATTATGAAGATCAGACTATGCCATCATAGGGAGAGACATAAAATTATGAAGATCTGACTATGCCATCATATGGAGAGACATAGAATGATGAAGATTGGACTATGCCATCATAGGGAGAGACATAGAATGACGAAGATCTGACTATGCCATCATAGGGAGAGACATAGAATTATAAAGATCTGACTATGCCATCATAGGGAGAGACATAGAATTATGAAGATTGGACTATGCCATCATAGGGAGAGACAAAGAATGATAAAAATTGGACTATGCCATCATAGGAGAGACATAGAATGATGAAGATTGGACTATGCCATCATAGGGAGAGACATAGAATGATGAAGATCTGACTATGCCATCATAGGGAGAGACATAGAATTATGAAGATCTAACTATGCCATCATAGGGAGAGACATAGAATTATGAAGATCAGACTATGCCATCATAGGGAGAGACAAAGAATGATAAAGATCAGACTATGCCATCATAGGGAGAGATATAGAATAATGAAGATCAGACTATGCCATCATAGGGAGAGACAAAGAATGATAAAGATCTAACTATGCCATTATAGGGAGAGATATAGAATGATGAAGATCAGACTATGCCATCATAGGGAGAGACACAGAATGATAAAGATCTGACTATGCCATTATAGGGAGAGATATAGAATGATGAAGATCAGACTATGCCATCATAGGGAGAGACACAGAATGATAAAGATCGGACTATGCCATCATAGGGAGAGACCTAGAATGATGAAGATCAGACTATGCCATCATAAGGAGAGACCTAGAATGATAAAGATCAGACTATGCCATCATAAGGAGAGACACAGAATGATGAAGATCTGACTATGCCATCATAAGGAGAGACCTAGAATGATGAAGATCAGACTATGCCATCATAGGGAGAGACCTAGAATGATAAAGATCGGACTATGCCATCATAAGGAGAGACACAGAATGATGAAGATCTGACTATGCCATCATAAGGAGAGACACAAAATGATGAAGATCTGACTATGCCATCATAAGGAGAGACACAGAATGATGAAGATCAGACTATGCCATCATAAGGAGAGACACAGAATGATGAAGATCTGACTATGCCATCATAAGGAGAGACACAGAATAATGAAGATCAGACTATGCCATCATAAGGAGAGACACAGAATGATGAAGATCTGACTATGCCATCATAAGGAGAGACACAGAATGATGAAGGTCTGACTATGCCATCATAAGGAGAGACACAGAATGATGAAGATCTGACTATGCCATCATAAGGAGAGACACAGAATGATGAAGATCTCATAATGCATCTTATTTGCTGTGAGGATGTAATCTTAAAATTAATCCCATAGGATATAGTGAGACGGTTCTCAAAGCTAATCAGATGGGAGATGAGCGTCGTCACACCATGTCAGGGATAAGAGCCTATCCAAATAATGTGAGGGAAAGTCATTAAGTAAGGGCAACTGCATTAACAAGTTTTTTTACAAGCAGCTAGAATAAAATTGTTCTACGTCCTATTTCTCGACATATTCTCCCTGCCTTGTAACACATGTAGTCCACGGATCCACAAGACTGTGAGTGCCTGCCAGTTAGAAGCTTTTGGATGTGGCCAGTAACCAGGTTTGCACCAGTGACATCACCTCATTGTCATCTGCAAATCTAGACTGCGGAGAAATAGGACTCAGAACAATTTTGTTCTTTCTGCTTGTCAAACCCTTATTCTTCTTCTTCTTCTTCACGTTCACCAGCTGTACACTCTGGCAGAAAGTTCTAGTTGATCGTCCACTACTGAACTGCAGTCCTGCTCCAGAACTTGAGTGTTGCGTGTGCATCAGTTTTACAGATCTCACTATCTTTAATACAGACTGTTGGTTCCTTGCCTCTCCGGCAGATGCACTCCGTCTTCAAAGGAAGCTCCCCAATTAGTCAACTCTTACGACATTCTTTTGGGGAGGCAGTGGGTCTATTCTTGTTTTCCCCACAATGGGGCTCCAGAACCCACACGGGGGTCAAACCCTTATTAATACACTTGCCTTAATTTAATGACTTTCACGTGTATTACAAAAAAACCAAAAACAAAACAGCAATGGATACACATATCCACTGCAGCTAACTACCATTGTGAAGATCACAGTCATGACGTGCTAGGTCGATTAGCATAGGCTGCCATTTTAACCATTTCATGCGATCACCAGAATCATGAATTAGGTCATTGTTCTTGTCTTGCCCTCATCTGAATGCTCAAGCAATCCAGGTGTTTATCTCTTTGCCATTTCCTTGCTTTCTTTCTCCATTGGTCTTGCCGGTTGTCACCAAATTCTCAAGCAGATTCATTTTCATAATGTGTCACAAAAAAACTGACTGTGTACACCCACACTCTGTCTCACACACACACACACTATGTCACACACACATGCACACGCACGCACGTGTGCGCACACACACACACACACATTATTTAACTCAACTCTGAGTAATGGGTATGTAATGGTTTATTCTATGATTGTGTTAATACCTAATCATATGGACGGTCTACTTGAACATTCTCCAGGCTGGGGAGTTAAGGATTACTAATGTGCAATCCCATGATGCAGGCAGATATGACTGTGTCGCAGAAAACTTTGTAGGGAAAGCATCCAAAGCTATTTTTCTACAAGTCCAAGGTAAGAAATTTGTGTTTAATGTAACTTAGAATGCTGTTGAGTCAAATAAGATGTAAACTGAAGTAATTATTTAAAAAAACAGATAAACTATTAAAAACAAAATTGAAATGATGAAGAGATCTCACCAGATTCTGTTAAAAGGCAAGCAATAATTGTACCAGCAGATATACAGATTTTTAAAGAGAAATTGGCAAGAGGACGAAAATAGCTGTTTACCGCTATACCTATGGGTGTGAGTCATGGGCAATGACAACAGCTCACAGAAGCCAGCTTCAGGCCCCAGAAATGAGATATCTGAGAAAGGTGGTCCAAGTCAAAAGAATGGGAAAAGTCTGCAATCAGGCAATATGTCAAGATTGCTAGTCACACTCGCCATTGCCATAAGCTGTGAGTCCCATGCCTCCTCATAGCGCAATATAACACTATTGTCTGGAAAGATGGAAAGGTGCCAATCAATCAATCAGTCAGCCGTGAGAAAGGGTTTCTTTATTTTACTTTACTGTTGGGAATGAAATTTCATATTCTTGTCTACCAATTTTTGATTATACTTAAGTAAGACATTTCTGTTCTGCAGGAGCAGACATAGGAAGGGTTGGAGACCAGTTTGTGAATAGTGCTATCCCACAAGCCACTCGCCAAGTCAACAGTGCTGTCAATACAACTTTATCACAACTGTTCGATCCAACTAAAGAACACACTGTGCAGGTGATTTATCCATAGCTATGAATTTTCTTTTTCTTCTTCTTCTTCAACTTTTGTCTTTTTTTTTGTCTTCTTCTTCTTCTTCTTCAATTTGATTGATTTGATTTGATTCAAGAACCAAGATCATAACACTCAGGGCATTCCCATAAGCGCTCCGTCCCCATCTTCAGCAGCCAGTGAAGAGTTCCAATACTAATGGTGCCAGTAGCATTCTGATTAAACGTCCGTCTTGCCTTTCCTCTGAGCCTCGAGCATCTGCCAGAACCTCTCATCACTCCCAACTGCATCAATCTCACCAGACTGTGGTGATCAATCTGCTCCTCCGAACTGTACACGCTCTCCCACAAGGACGCTCTCCCACAAGGCACTAACCACGTCTGCCTTATTATGCATCAGTATTCTGTCAAGCTGTGCAGAGCCAGTCAGTCTGTCCGCCTGTTCATTTCCCAACACACCGGCATGCCCTGGTTAGAACATCCAGACAATACTCCTCACCAGTGTCTTCTGCAGCGAGGCATGCCACTCTGCACGAAGCATGCTTGTCCTGATCTTCCTCAGCATACTTTCTGAGTCAGTTACAATCACAATGTGTGTGTGTGTCGTGTTCTCTAGTCAGTGGAAAGCTGCAGTGACCGCCTCCACCTCCATTCTTAAGCTGGATGTTGTGGTATCATATGCTAGGCTCTCCTGCACCAAATGTTGACCATTAACTTTTGCTAAGAAACCCTAAGCACTTTTTTTGCCTCTTGACCCTGAACCATCTGTGTAATTGATCAAATCTTCTGAGAGAGCATTATCTGGAATTAATTGCTGAATTTCCACCTCTGTGGCACCTGCTGGCCAATCTCTGCATTCCCAGCTCAGTGTAATTATGACCCTACACAAGTCTGACTGTTCAGGTGGCACTTTGACCCACTCCTCTCTTCGCCTAATGTTCTTAAGGATGCAAACCTGTCTGATTGTGTCTTCTGCCTGAGCCATCCATGACTTCCCTCTTATCAGCCGCTGACCCTTAACTGCACCTAGAGCTTCATGCAAAGGGTGGTCTGTGTCTGCAGCTAGCTAGGAGATATGACTTCACCTGCAGCACCTTGTGCCTACCTGCAACAGTTTGCAAACCAAGAATGTATCGCATACACACCACTGGGGTGTCTCTGTTGCAACCCAGAATGACCCGCTTTGCTGTGTTCTGTATGCACTCTAGTTTGTCCATCTGGCTCTTTGAGACGGTAAGCATTCCCAGGCCAACTGACAGGATCAGGTGCTGATATAGTGTGAAAAGCATTCTCTGCTCTATGTCAATTGCAGCCATGGTCTAAAGTGCACCAAGTCCTTTTTGGCAACTCTCTCCACATGGTCCTTAAAGGACATTCTTCTGTCAATGTAATTTCCAGATACTTCAGTTTGCTCTCTTTGTTGATGTTTCTACCATCTATCGTGAGACTTGGGACATTAGCTCTAACGATCCTGTTGTCCAGAGAACACCACAAAACAGACCCATTTTCTGGGTGGACGACAGCAGTCATTCCTGTACACCACTCAGTCACTTTGTCTACTGTCGCTTGTAGCTCCCGGGCTGTTTATTACCTCTCTTCCATTTGCAAGTATGTCATCCGCAAAAGTAGGTAATCCTTCCAACTCCTGGTGCTTCTAGGCTTGAAATCTTGCTTGTATACACTTTAAAGAGCACAGGCAAGATGGCAGATCCCTGTGGCAGTCCTGGGGCCAAACTGTATGGTTCTGAGGTCCATGAGGCCAGTTGAAGAGCAAACCCAATGTGAATACAGGACAGCTGCAATCCAATTCACCATCCATGGACTGACCTCTCTCTCCTTTAGTGCAGTCATCAAGATGTCGTATCTTACTCTGTTATAAGCATCCTCGAGATCCAGTCCTACCGCCATAGTTTCCTGTCGCTTCTGGAACCCTTCATAGACGTCAAAAGCAAAAGTGGCCTCATTTGCCCATGTGTCCTTTCCTGGCCTGCAGCTTACCAGACCTCTTGGGAAAAGCGTCCCCCTTTCGAAAAATTCTTGCAGCTTTACAGCAACTATCTTCTCCAAGACCTTCTTCTTCTTTTTTCTTTCTTCTTCTTCTTCTTCCTGTTCAGCATTCTAAACTCCAGACTTTGACTTTGTTCTAGGACTTGAGTGTTACATGCCTGTCAGTTTTACAGATCTGGCTTCTTTGTGTGCAAAACATTGTTCCTTGCCTTTCAGGTAGATGACTCTGACTTTAAAGGAGTTCATGTAAAAGGTTTAGGATTTTTTTAAATTACTAGTGCTCCTAGTTTGACGTGGCCTTAGATTTGTACCGGTAAATGTCTTGGGAAGTAAAGGCGAACATCATGATTGATGTCAATCATATCCCAGTAAGCCACAAAAGTGGATCTAGCACCATATACCCAATATTTTTGAAGGTTTGGAGTAGGATTATTTATTTTACATATAACATACTGGGCTATGGTAATGCAATGAGCAGCACACTTGTTAGCCAGCTCACTGATTGAAGTTTGACTCCCTATTATGGCAGGGTTTGAAAAAAAATTGCGGTAGCCCAGCTTGGGTATCAGGAAGTGTTCTTGGAAGTAAAGGCAGTTGGTATAATATTGAGCATGTCAGACATCCCACTAAGTGCTGATGGGTATATGAATATAAAATTAATAAATTTAAAAAAAATTAAATCAAAAACAGTCAAGGACCCTTTTCCACACCTTCAGGCATATTGGGTATATAGGGCTAGACCTATGTTTTTTAGACCAATCAGCGGGTGATGTAGTCAACATCACACCGGCCACCTTTACTTCCCAGGACAATTATACCCGGTACCCACCCAAGGCTAAGTCTACCTGGGAGCCAAGATCATTTAAATGTCAAGTAATCTGCATTAACAAAATTGTTTTCATTCATACAATGTGAATATTAATTTCTACTTCTCTTCAACAAATATTTAAACAAATATGTGAAGTGAATTGGTTGGTCATAATAAAAATCTGAATGATTGATTGGTTAGAATTTAAATAAATGATCTTGAGATGTAAAGTTTCTGGAAAAAAAAAAAGGTGAAGGTGGATAAAAGATAGTGAAGATGCATTGGCCGAAAGCACTTAGGGCTGGAGAACTACCTGAAGAAAGAGAGACTTTCAGGCATGCTGCAAAGAGAGTGATATTCTGTAAAGAAGACACAAACAATAGACTGCACAATTTATTGCTAGGTATATTTGGCTGTATCTGGTCAGGTGTGTACTAAGTAACAATTTATTAAAATGAAGCAAATAAATGAATCCTTTGAACTGAAACACAAAATCGTCTACATTTAAAAACAGTCTGTTTCACCAAAGTAAATGTGAGGTGAAGAGTGTGTCCTTTTGTCTGCATAATTCTGGACTAAAATGGTTGATGAGATACAGCAAAATTTGCCCAGCAATAAATTGTGCCATCTACTGTTTGCTGATTCTTTGTTTAAATTCACAATAGGAGAACATAGCTTTAATATTCTATAAAGAACCTGCTGATTGATGATGATGAAGATGATGATCTTGAGATGCACACAAAAGTACTCTGTCTAAGCAGATGTTGTTGTGTAAGGACCTCTTGTGCCTTGATTAGGAATTGTGTAAAATACAATGAAGAACTTTTTTTATATAGGTGGTACATAGGACAGGGTTATTCAACTAAGTTTACACAGGGGGCCAACATTTTGACAATGGGGATCGTCAAGGGCCAGAGATCTGAGCCCCAGCATAGAAAGTTCAATAATACAGTACAGCTGGTAGTTATCCATGGGTCTCTTGCTAGGCCTCCTTGGGCTAGATTTGGCCCTCAAGCCACCAGTTGAATATTCCTGACATAGGATATATGGTGCTAGTTGAACCTATGTTGTTGTAGAACAGTTTGCACTTCATGGGTGGCAATGCTTACTTCCCAGGAAATATCCTGGAAGCCATTTTAGGCTGAGTCAATATGAGAGCTGAGGTAATTTTTATAAGCTTTTATTAAGTTTGCTTTTGTTTGTTTGTTTTAATGTCTAGTATAATTTTTGCATTTGATTAAAAAAAAAAAGAATCTGATGTGATGCAGATTCAGGCCTTAGAATTCAGACCGGCAGGCAAGCAGCTAGTCATGGCACTAGTAGCTCCTGATTGTGAATGTGTTGTTTTCTAAATGAATTCCAATAATTTTTTAAAGTCATATCTACAATAGGATCTGCTTTCTGCATTCCGTTACCCAACACCGGAAGCTCTTGATCTGGCCAGAGCAGAAGAAATATTCGAACAGACGCTGGAAATCATTCAACGACATGTCAGTGAAGGTCACAGCTATAATCTGACTGGATTTGGTAAGAAAGGAAGAAACAATTTTCTTTAAACTATTTTAAATTGTTGTGAATCCTGTGTATTGAACATATCTTGTTGATGAAAAAGCTGACAAGAAGTGAAGTGTCCAATAGGAATGTAGAATAAATGAAGGAATCTAATTGGAATAGAGCTGGTGGAATTATTGAAATGTCTTAATTGGGGTAAATAATAGAATAATTAAAGTATCCTAATGGGTATAGGTCCTGGATAATTGAAGTATACTAGGAAAAGATATTAAAATAATTGAGTATAGTATGGAAGTAGGTAATGGAATAAATTAAGTATCCTAATCAGAAAGGTATTAAAATAATTAAAGTATCTTGATGGGGTAGATATGGAATAATTGACATTTTGTAAAGAGGGTAGATGCTGGAATAATTGAAGCATACTAATGAGATAATGTTATAAATGAAGTAATGGCGAGGGATAGTAGTACAGCTGAAGAATTTAAATGAGAGTATACAGTAGAAGAACGGAAGAACCTGAACTGGGATAGATAATGAAATAATTTAAATATTCTAATGGTAGCAGTTAATGGAATAATTGTTATGAGAATAAGTGAAAGTATCATTTTTTTTTTTGTATGTGCGCAAAACAAATGGCTGAGATTATGTCAAAAACTGGAATAATTTCATATTTTGTTTCAGACCTCTATCCTAATATTATGTGAATACTAGAATAAAACATGACGAGAAGCGTGCATTTTGTTGATAGAAATAAACTGTACATGTTATATCACATAATTGTTGTGTTAATAACTTCCAGAGACATCTTACCAAGAGTTGGTGTCTCCTTCCCACATTCATATGATCGCCAACATGTCTGGGTGTTTAAGGCGTACACATGCAGCAGATTGTTCTGACACCTGTTTTCACCGGCGCTACCGCACCATGGATGGCACCTGCAACAACTTGCAGAACCCCACTTGGGGTGCAGCTAACACTGCTTTCAACCGGTTGCTACCTGCTATTTATGAGAATGGCTTTAATTCTCCTGTAGGTGAGTAGAGGTTATTATTTATTAGCAGACATTAAGCACCATTTTTTTATTGAAAAACAAAGACTGAAATGCTTTGTCACCTGGCCAGAGTGAACAAGAGCATACGACATGAGAATGGAAACATCAAAATGCAGGGAAAGGCCAAAAAGAGCATGGATAGATAAACAGCTTGCTGAAACTCAGCAATGTCACCATGCAGCAAGCTAACCGATCGTTAACCATGTCTGCAGTGCCTAACAGCATTAATCAGAGACAGACAGTAGATAGCCAATCAAGTTTGTTGAATTGACTTATGGCTAAAATTCTTCTTTTTTTATTCAAAAAGAGAGACAGCGCATACTAAAGACTTCAAACAAAAGGATACTGATCCCTCTCTGACTTGGATGCAAAGTCTAGACATACCTATTGGATCAGTGTGCTGTGAAAAACCATGCAAGACCACACAGTGGTTAATTCAGAACAGCAGTGCCTTCTCCATGACCACCAGCAGCATGACGATGGAGGTGATGGCGGTGACACAAGCTTTCATATGGCTAGAATCACAGGACTTTTCTCACGTGTGTGTGTGCTGAGTGATTCTTTGAGCATGATCCGGCAGGTCGAGGCAGGCTGGTTACGCAGACAATGGTTTGAGTCATTGCAAAACTCTCCTGTGTGCGCAGTTACCTTCATATTCGTCCCAGGTCATGCAGGCATTGGTAATGAAAGAGCTGATAGAATGGCAGGTGCTGCATTAATTGAAGATGGCCGGCCCATGGATCACGCATACACTGTCATTCCCCTTAGAGAGATAGGATGTTATGAGGATTTTGGAATCAACGTAGCCCTACTAAAAATACGCAAATTGGGAGTAAAGATCAGCACAGACAAGCATGAAAAGCACACCGGACGCACACAAAGTCTTGTTAACCAACATAGGACTGGTACTATTAACCGCCCGACACTGATGAATATGTTGAGAGGGAAATGCCTGATAGATAATGAAGATGGTCTTAGTAAATACAGTGAACAGTGGCATTCAGGATTTTTTTTAGTTCACATGAGAAGAACCTTTACAGTTGAACTCTTTCAGTCCCAAACAATATGCCTTTTATGAAAAGCTATTATCTGTATGCGCGGCCAACCAAAGATTGTTTAAGTTATTTGAATAAAACAAAACAAAAATTATGTTCTACACAAGATTCATAGATGCTGCATGTGTGAAAGTAATGCATAGAGGCTTCATGCTATTGTTGGTTTTCTTTTGTTGGGAGAGGGGGGGGGGGGGGGGGGAAGCGAACTCTGAAAAACATTAAGGTGCTAAAGGAGATCTTGGCTACAACTGACAATATAGATAGAAAAGAAGCAAGGGGGAGGCAAAAAGATAAATACCTGGATGGGCTGGCCATATGGATGAGTGGGACAAAACGACTGACTTGATCCCTGCTTTAGTGAGCATATGAGATGATGAAACATGACCACCTATGTTTATCAGCATGCTAAAGATGATGATCAAGAGACAGAGAAAGAGAGAGAGAGAGGGGGGAGAGAGAGAGAGAGAGAGAGAGAGAGAGAGAGAGAGGGGGGGGGGGTGTGCTAGAATTTCTGTATATTTTAAATAATGATTTTACAGTTATCAGATGTTCTTAGGAAGTGTTCTATCTAGAACCAGCCTCTCATCCTCACTTTAGATTCACAGGTGTTTTTCTTCTTACTTTTGCATAATATCCTTTAATGACATGTAACTGTGTATTTAACTGTCTCCTGTCTAGGATGGAATCGCCACAAACTGTACAAGGGAACACACTTACCAAGTGCACGACTTGTATCATCTCTAGTGATTGCCACAGATCACGTCACCAGCGATGAGCAGTTCACCCACATGTTGATGCAATGGGGGCAGTTCATTGATCATGATATGGACCTCTCACCTCAGGTTTAACCATTTTGTTCATGAGCAAATGTTTCTTTTCATGTGCAGATATTTAAAAAAATTTTTTTTTTACATTTATAAATTCTGTTTTTGAAATATATAAAGATACATTTAAAGGGGTAATCAGTCATCATAAACCAATTCTGCCGTTAAACGTCATGGGGAGGAATAATTTGCGTTCCAGTGCACGTTGGCAACCACTGGCTATTGTCATGCCGTGAAGGCGTAGAGTGTCTTTAATGTTGTCGATCCATGTTTTCGGCGACCGTCCTCTTGCTCTTGTAGTTGGTCTTCTCAGATGTAGTGCTTGTGATGGTATTTGATCTTGCTGCATTCTAACGAGATGGCCAAATCACTTGATCTGCTGTTTCTCGATGAATCTAGTACAAGGTGTCGTTCCCACAATTTGCCTGATAGTTTCATTATTCACTCGATCTCGTATGGTTAGGTTGGCTGCTTTTCTCAATAAACACATAAAAGTGAAGAATTAAACAGAATACATTCTCCTGTGTGTTAAAAAAATATATAAGGCTGTGAAAAGGAAAGAAAGAAGCCTTTACACAATCTAAGAAAGAAGACTGAATGAAATTAGTGTCAGGCATTAACCCTTACTGTATCAAGCAATGCATCATATATGTTCATTGGTTAGTCCAAACAGAGTCAACTTTTCTCACTTTACTGTCACAAGCATTTGTTGCATTAACCTTTTATAGCTAAACTGTCATTTGTTCCTTCTGTCATGTAAGGCTGTTTTTGTAATTTCATCTGACCCACAATTCCTTCATTCTATTCTAAACACTTGTATCATCATCATCATCATCCAGTGCCTTGCTGACTAGCTTGGGCGATCATGCCTCTCCACAATCTGCGACCAGCAACTGCATGTATCAGTTTGTGTGTTGACACCACTCCATGCCATGACAGAAGGCTGTCAAGTATCATTTTGAGCTGTCTTCCTCTGTCTCTCTTTCCAAAAATCTTTCAAGTGATCACAACATGTTCCATTTTCCCTCTTCTCATAACATGACCAAAAAATTATGACTGTCTCTTTCTTATGTTTTTGATAAGTTGTCTTCAAGCACTCGCCTTTTTTTGAAAAAACATCTGGGTTACTCTTCTTAGTTGTCCAAGGAAAAAAATTCCTCTGTAAATCTACATCTCTGAGGCCTCTAGATATTGTTCCTATTGTTTATTAATTGTTCAGGATTCACAGACATATTTTAAAACCAACTCTATATATCATGCAAGAATTCTTTTCCTAATCTCAAAGGTTTTATTGCACAAAGTGTTCTTCATTTTATAAAAGCCAGTTTTGGCCTGTCCTATTCTGTTCTTGATCTCTGTGATACATCTCCCTTCAAATGTTATCCGTGTGCCCAGATACTTAAATTTCTGTACTTGTCATAAAATAACACCTTAATACATGTATGCATTTCTTATAAACATTTTGAAACAGTTGAAAAAGTCTTTTATTTTAAAACTTTTTCCTGTTGTAAATTTAAATAATGAGTTAACACAAGTAATATTTTGCTGTCTCTTCAGGGAAATTACCTTTGTGTTCCCATCAAATTGAGCGCAAAACATGAACCATTTTAAATCTCTTCTCCTTCTTAGTGTTCACTGACTGTAAACTCTGGTGGAAAGGTCTAGTTTTTCCTTGATTTTTGTTTTTCACTTCTTGGTTCCTCAACTCTCAGGCAGATACAGATGAAAGGAAGCAGCCTAATTGCCTCCCATGAATGCTTATTAAGGGGAGATGACTAAACTCCTGTCAGAAAGTTCTGAGTGTTCATCTATTTCTAGACCTTAGTTTTATTCCAGAACTTGATTGTTGCGTGCATATCTATTTTACAGATATAACTTATTTGTATGCAGACTGTTGGCTGCTTGCCTCTCAGGCAGTTGTAATCTGATCGACATGCTTTTTGGGGAGGCAGTGGGTCTATTCTTGTTTTCCCCACAGTGGGGCTCCGCAACTTACATAGGGAGAAATCCTTTCAAATGAAACACTTTAATGTTCTTTGGCGGGGAGGAGAGGATAGAAGGCAGAGAGATAAATACATGGATGGCTTGGCCATGTGATTGGGCTAAACAAGAAAAATTAAAAAGTAAAGGACCTGTTTCCTTGCTTGTAGGCGTATTGGACATACAGGGCTAGACCTATATTTTATAGACCAATCTGCACTCGGTGGGTGATGTGGCAAGACAAGAGCATAGACCTAATTCATGATTCTGGTGTTTATGTGAGATGGCAAGACATTAATCATTTATGCTTGTGTCATTGGTAAGGCACACAATGATAATTTTGTCTTTCTTGATTAGGCAATCAGCTTTGCCAGATTCAGCGATGGCCGGAGATGTAATGAAACCTGTGAGAATACCAACCCTTGCTTTCCAATTTCTGTGCCAACTTCTGATCCAAGAATAAGAAATCACGAATGTTTGGGATTCACCCGCAGCAGCGCCACCTGCAACACTGATTCTACGTCATTGTTTTTCAACACTGTGTCACCAAGGCAACAGCTGAACGCCCTGACATCTTTCATTGATGCTAGCAATGTGTATGGTAACAGTGATCGAATGTCCAGCATTGTACGAGATTTAGCAAGTAACCGAGGACTGCTCAGAGAAGGTAAGATGTGAAAATGTACATTACAATTTTTGCTTGTAATCATGTCTAGAATCATGGATCAGTCTTTTGTGAATGTGCTTAATTGGACAATGAACAAGCAACTAGAATATCGAATTGAGTCTCTGGAGATGTGGGCATACAGTAGAATCAGTCATATTTCATGGAAACAAAATCAGTCCAATACAGAAGTCCTGTAAAGGCTGCAAACGAAAAGAGAATTACTGAAAGAAATAAAAAAAAAGAGAAATGAAATACTTTGGCCACAATAAAAGACATAATACACTTTTAAAACCCATACTGGAAGGAAAGGTCGAAGGCAAGAGAGCAAGAGGTGGGCAGTGCTACAAATGGGTGGACAACATCAAAAGATGGATAAGCAGCAGTCTGAGAGAGTATACAACCAGGACAAGAGATAGGGCTAATGATGAATGTGTTCAGTTATAGTGACTGTTTAATCTTTAGTATTGTCATTCCTTGGAGGGAAAGAGGGGGAGGGGGGGGGGGGAATGCAGCTAAAGAAGAATATTAACTAGTTTTTGGTCCTAGTAAATTGTCAGTACCTGCTAAACTGTTCTGCCCTGTTTAAAAAAAAAATCGAATAAAAAATAAAAAAGTTTTTTTCAGTTCTTTAATAATATCCTAACCCAGATGACGTCACAGGACAGTCCAACATTTTAGATGGCTTTCTGATGCTCTTAATGACCCCAACACATCTAGAACTGGCCCTAGCCCCAACCCACCTATGTCCCATGAGACAGTGCAGCCTAGGTCCCACGACTACATGCAGCCTACTTACCACCACCTGAAATATTAGATTGTCCTGTGACATGTAGATTTCCCCTGTTTGGGGTAGGATATTAATAAAGCACCGTTTTTCCCCTCTAGGATTTCATTCTGTAGGAAAAATATCTCAGTGATGGGAGTCGGACAGGTACTAGTCTCAGAAACCTTGTTCAGACATGTAGCACAGTTATACTGGGCCATCACTAAATGGTTACAACATAACCTGCAGTCCACTGTGGTTGGGTATTGTGAAAACTATAGTAGTTTTCAGTAGTTTGTAATTAGTTGCAGGGATTTTACAATATTGACAGTGCTCTGTCATAGTAATTGTTAACTCTTTCAGTCCCATTAGTTTAGCATCAGAGGGCCAAGGGCTAGTATGGAGAAACACAAAATCAACACACCTAGTGTTCATTTGGCTTTTAGGTAGGAATGTATGTTTTCCTTGAGACTGAAAGAGTTAATAGTAAATTAATTGCTTGATATATTTTCCAACCAAATGAATTGTGCAGTATATGTTTTGATTGGTACACATTGAGCTAAAACACCTAGAACACAATATACCTGTGCGCTGCTAAACAAAATCTAATTACAAATCCTCTTCACAGGTCCATCAACAGCCACTGTCCGCCGCTTGCTTCCCTTTGATGAAGACACACTGGAACGACCAGACTGTCAGATAGAGCCTAGCAAACGCCACATCCCGTGCTTCATTGCTGGAGACGTCCGTGTAAACGAGCAGCTGGCTCTGATATCCATGCACACCTTGTGGATGAGGCAGCACAATCACATGGCTGCAGGGCTGCACCGGATCAACCCTCACTGGGATGGAAACAAAATATACCATGAGGTATTAGAGCCACAGTGAGTTTTATACAGTAGAACAGTCTTTCCCTGGGTGGTCCACCGACCCCTGGGAGTCCAGGGAACAAACTGAAGGGGTCCAGGATATCATTTATACACAGTCGCCTTGTGGGTTCTGGGTCCCCTTGTGGGTTTGGGGCCCCATTTTGGAATTTACAAACAAATAGACACACTAGAAAGATCATATCTTAAAATGTGACTAATCAGGGATATTTACCTCAAAGTCAGAGCCCATCTGCCTCAGAGGCAAGGAACCCACAGCCGGCATACAAATAAGTCTGATCTGTAAAATGGATGAGCATGCAAATCTCAAGTTCTGGAACAAGACTCAAGTCCAGAAGCAGACAAGCAAACAGAACTTTCCACCCGAGTTTACAGCCAGTAAATGCTAAGAAGGCTTACAAATGAAAAAAAAACAAAAAAACACCAAAACCTTATAATGCGATCCTTTAAAAAAAAAAATGCTAATTTATAAATTGTAACAAGTTTTAGTCACTAACTATTAAAAATATGTACAGTTTATAAATTATAATAAGTTTTCAATTTAATTATTAAAATGTAACAAACATAAGAAATATCCACAGGTCTTAGTTAATTAGCAACCATTGCAGCAGATGTATTAGCCAGGCAATAATGATAGTCATTGATGTCAATTTCATATACTTTTTTGAAAGTTGTTGATAGCTGGTTATATATATATATAAATATATACACTTCTCTGTTAATAAATTAACTGTAAGCAGTATGGTTACAATACACAGCACATAAGGATTCGATGTAAGTTAATGAATATGTTTTAAACAAACTTTTCTTTGGGACATTGACATTACTGACAGTAAGATAGTATTTCTTCTTCTTCTTCTTCTTCTTCTTTTTCTTCTTCTTCTTCTTCTTAGCATTCACCAGCTGTAAACTCTAGCAGAAATTCATAGTTGTTTGTCCACTTCAGTCTCATTCTAGAATTTGAACTTTGCATGCATATTTTACTGTTCTGAAAGAATTCTGCTGCTTCTCTTTGGTACATATCAGAAGTGGGGCAGGCATTTTAAAACTGTCATTATGATGTCACTGTGTCCATCTGTACCACGAGTCATGTACTTAACGCTCTTGACATCCTTGGCGAGAATGACAGGTGAGAAGACAGTGGGATGGTTATTGTAATTTTTATCACACTTGTGAGGTTTTTCGTATATTTTTTTTTAAATATCAGTATTAAACGTATGCTATCTATTTCTTTTTCAGGCAAGAAAAATCATGGGTGCCTTGTTTCAGCACATCACTTTTAAACATTGGCTACCAAAAGTCCTAGGTCCAAAAGGAATGGCAATGATTGGACCTTATGAGGGCTATAAACATGATGTAAACCCCAGCATCGTCAATGAATTTGCTGTTGCTGCTATGAGATTTGGTCATACCCTCATACAACCAATCATCTTCAGACTGAATGAAACATTCCATGAAATTCCAGAAGGACACCTGTCTCTCCGTCAGGTGTTCTTTGCTCCTCACAGGATCATTGAAGAAGGAGGATTAGATCCACTGATTAGAGGCTTGTTTGCTAAACCTGCAAAAAAGAAATTGCCAGGTACATTATTTCTTTGTGACAGTTTGAGTATTTGAATATTGGTACTATCATCAGTGTCTGTGACTTTTAACATTTTGAAAAGCTTCACAATTCTGAAATACCTCAATTCCAGCTGCAGACGATTTGGTGACAGACAGCTTAAAGATGATTTTAATGTTGTTATATATGGAATTGAACTGCTATTAGCCACCGGACGCTGGGGTTCATACTGAGGCGGAGGATCTGAGCACCTTTGGACATGTCCAAAGTGCAGTGATGATAACCCAACTAATTAACTAACCAACAAATATACATGGAGCACTAGGCATTCAGAAAACAAGAACATACTCATCATCATCAAGTGCCTTGCCGACCAGCGTGGGCGATCAGGCCTGTCCACAATCTGCGATCCTCAAGTGCGTGTATTAGTTCATGTGTTGACACCCCTCCAAGCCATGACAAAAGACTGTCAAGAATCTTCTCATGCTGTCTTTCTCTGCCTCTCTTGTTGCAAAATCTATTGTCCTCCTCTTTTTAATCTCGCTTTGTTATGTTGGGGGAGGGGAGGGAATGCTGGTTGTATAAAAAATTTTTTTTTTTAATTTACATTTTATAATAAATAACATAAATATGTCATTAACTGGTCTTTTATTTGAACAATAACAACACATAAAGTGTATAATTTCATCGTGTGGTAAAACAAACCGTTGTTATCTTTTTTTCAGGAGAACTCTTGAACTCTGAACTGACAGAAAGACTGTTCCAGCTTGCCAATGCAGTTGGCCAAGACTTGGCTTCCCTCAACATACAGCGTGGTCGTGACCATGGCACCCAATTTTACAATGACTATCGAGTGCTCTGTGGTCTCCCAAGAGCAAGAACCTTTGATGATTTGCGCTCAGAGATTCCTCATAAAGACACAAGAGACAAGTTACAGGCCCTCTATAGTCATCCAGGTAATTTATCAGTCTTTTTGCGTTCTTGTTTTTCTTCACTTCCTATTTTACCGCTTCAAATGTCAAGGGAGATATAATGTTCTGCTTCTTGCTCTTTTGGCCACGTCGATCATAGATACATTGTGTTGTTGAGTTTCTCTGATGTTATTTTTCCATTTTGTTCTTGGACTATGTGATGCTCTTCGTCCATCCCCTCTTTTGTGTATGCATTGTATGGTATGGCGTCACAAGACATTCTGTCTAACTGGGCAAACCATTTGATTTGCTGTCTTTGTATGTAATTTAGAATTGGTTCTGTGCTGACTTTTTTCTTATGACCTCATTCTGATTTTGTCTCTTCTGGTTACTCCTGCAGCCTTTCTCAGACATCCCATTTCCATTGTTACTAATTTTCTTTTTTGGCTTGTTGTCAGTGACTTTGTCTGGCACTGGTAGCATAGGGTTTGAATGAAATCACTTTGTATGAGATTCTTCTTTGTGCTAACTGGGTTTGTTGCAAAGAGGAGGGTTAGCTATCCCAATACTTCGTTTGCTTTACTGCATCTGGTGTTAATTCCTTCATCAGGGTTATTCTTCTTAAAGTCCATGCTGTGAGAGTTTAGGTTATTATATTTGCCTATAGAAATCTTTAAAGAAGAGGAGGAATTCTGACATCTTGAAAGATCTGAACATCAAGGAAGATTGGCTAACAAACAGCATCCTGTCTTGGAAGCTGAAATATTTTGGTCATATCAAGCACCACGGCGGATTGGAAGAAATAATAGCAGAAGGCATGGTACCAGGAAGGAGGGGCAGGGGCCGACCAACACAAAGATAGGCACAGGATATAAGTGACTCTTGAGTATGAAAGTTCATGAGGCAGGAGAGCTGGCGAGAGACCGAGTTTCTTTCAGGCAGACCGTGATGAGAGCGACGTTCTGCAAAGGACCTGCTACATGATGATGATGATAGAAATCTATATGCAGACAGTCATTGTTTAAAACTAATATCCCTCTATGCCATAATGCCAAACTGCATTATCCTCATAATAAGTCTCCATATGTCACTTGGGAACTGCCTTATCTATCTAATGGATGCCAGTCCGTCTAGGGGACTTTAAGAGGCAACACAGTTTTGTGGAAAATTTGTTTAGTTATGGCCTTTGCCGCTCCCAGCTTTTTCTGGCTAGTATTTATTTCCAGTGGACACATGTGTGTCTGCTGTTCAGCTGACCAGACATATAGATTTCTCAGTTAAGTGATTTGATGTTTTCCTGTTTGTATTTGTTGTGTTGTCTATTCATGCAGGCTCTTTAGCCACAACATTCACTTGTCATTTGTTGGGTTGATTTAAGAATTGACATCACAGCACTGTGGGCATTCCCATATGTGCTCCGTCCCCATCTCCATCAGCCAGCGCAGAGTACCAATACTAATTGTACTGGTCGTACTCTGGTTAAATGTCGATCTTACCTTTCCACTTAGTGTAGTGAGCTGGCCAGACCCTCTGGTCACACCCAGCTGCATCATTCTCTCCAGCCCATAATAATCCACTTTCTCTTCTGACTTTATTACTTGTTCCCAAAGTGCCCTGACCACATCTACCTTGTCATGTATCAGTTCACCACACAGTGATGCAGATTAAGCCAATCTGTCTTTTGTGTTTGTGATAATGTGAGGCTGACTGCTTCTACTTTTGATTTGCTTTGATATCTTTTCATGATGCATAATCGTCACCTAAAGTCTCTTTCTACCTCCTTCCTTCTCCAGCTCTCTGTTGTCACAAACTGCTTTTATTCCCCCCCCCCCCCCCCCCATGACATGACAAAGCATGTGGATAATAAATGAAATTACCATAAATTACAGTGTGCAAAATTACCTGGTATACAAGATGACTTCAAGATTTTTTGCTCCAAATTCTGAGACAGACCTATATAACTACATAAAACATTTTATACCCATGATATGTCAGCCCTGAGTTGCGTAAAGATTTAAGCTTGAAAATTCGACCTATACACTGCAATTTATTGGATTAAAAAATGAAATGAACAGAAAAACAGAAAATATCCAAGAAATGACCATATCAACTTACCTTAGCAGATCTTAAAAAATCTGAGAGTCTGGAGTAGTGAAATTAAATTAAGTGATGAGATTTACTGACAACTCCGACACCTTAGTTCTGACTGCCTAACCTAATAATGATGATGATGGCACAGTTAATTTAAAAAAAAAAACTTTTATCACAAAAAGAAACAAAATAATTGTCATGCCTTTGGAACAGAGGCATATAAGGCTAGAAGAATATTTTGATACTCTATTTGGCACTTAATGGATAATGTCAGTATTACATTACACAACTTTACATCCCAGGACACTGCTTGGTACCCGTTATAGGCAGCCTTGCCCTGGCAGCCAAGGTAAGTTTTGATCAAAATATGCCTCGATATGGATTTTAACTCTAGCCAGTGTCTAGCCGCTACATTGCTGCAGATCTCATAAGTTAAATAAACAACACACAGTATTGTTGGACTTCAGCAGACAATGAACTGTTTGTCATATTTTATTGCAGACAACATTGATCTGTTTGTTGGAGGTATCACTGAGCAGGTTGTTGATGGAGCGAAAGTTGGACCAACTTTTCTCTGTATTTTGTCTGACCAGTTCAAGAGACTTCGAGATGGAGATAGGTGAGGCCCTAGATTCTATTGGTTTAAATCAACATGTATGTGATCAGAATGCACCTTTTGGCTTTATATTAAATGCTTAAGATTTTGCTAATTGTATGTATCAGAATATGCAACTGCACTAAGCTATTTTTAGTTGTAAGAAATTTAATATACTACAAAACTGAGACTATATAATCAACATCATCATGTTTCTTGCCTACTGACATTGGTGATCATGCATCCCCACAATCTGCGATCTTAAACAGCATGTATCAGTTCATGTGCTGACACTTTTCAAATCCATGACAAAAGGCTGTCAAGAATCTTCTTGTGTTGTCATCCTCTGATTCTTTTTCCACAGATCTTTCCAGTGGTCACAACATGTTCCAGTTTCCTTCTTCTAATAATATGACCCAAAAAAGATAATAACTCTCTTTCTGATGTTTTTAATAAGTTGTCTTTGAGCTTCTTTCAAAACATCTGGGTTGTGCAAATAATTCTAGCAAATCAAGAGGTGAAAAAAAGCTACTGGCCCTGGAGAGTTCACATGATAATAGTATTATAACAAGAATGTCTGTGCATTAGACCCTGAGGGGAAAGAGATGAAGCAAGAGAGACAGAGTTTAATAATAACATAGAGGAGACAACGTGAGATGCCTAAGATGGCAAATGATAGTATGGGTTGACCTGAGGTCGTTTAGGGCCTCCATGAGGGTTAAGGAGTAGGAGAGGATGAAGGACTGGAAGAAGAAAACAATTAAAATAAGTAATGCAACAATGAAGAGGTCTTTTTCTTTCTTCATGCTCATCAGCTGTAAATTCCTGTGAAAAATTCTTGTTGTTTGTCCACTTTTGAACTTAAATCATGTTCCAGAACCTGAGTTTTTAACATCTATTTCTGCACTGTCATTCCATCATTTGTATTTTAAGACATCTTCTTGGATATGTACCTTTGATTAGCTGTGTATTATCCTGAGAAAATTTACATCTACGATGAAAGACAGAGCATGATAGAGATCCATTGCACCCACCTCCACTGAGAATATGACAACCTGATTGATATATTTCTTTGCCTTATCCTATGTACGTTTTCCACTTCAGATTCTGGTATAAAAGGGAGGGAGTTTTTACTTCCGAACAACTTGTCACGATCAAGCAAACTTCTATATCATGATAGAAATCCATTGCACCCACCTCCACTGAGAAGATGGCAACCTGGTTGATAGATTTCTTTGTCTAATCCTATGTACATTTCCCATTTCAGATTCTGGTATGAAAGGGAGGGAGTTTTTACTTCTGAACAACTTGTCACGATTCAGCAAACTTCTATATCATCTGCAATATGTGAAAGCAGTGACAGCATCACAAGAGTTCAGAAAGATGTTTTCCTACTAGCTGTTGATGATGATGACTATGTCCCTTGTAATGAGATCCCTAAACTGGACTTGAACCAGTGGACCGACTGCTGTGAAGGTATTGACTGTTTTCCAACCTTGTCCAGCTTACTGATGCCCATATGTAAAATGTAATAGCCTTTTAGTAAGGGATTAAAAAAAAATACTTCCTGTTACCATAACATTTATCAACTATAATAGAACCGTACAGTGTGTTACTTCATGTAATAGTAATGTACGTCAACTAATATGGAATCACATAATTTGTTACTTTATTTTACAGTAGCATTCATCAACTTATATGATGCCAGATAATGTGTTATTTAATTTTACACTAAGATACATCAGCTTATATGGAACCACATAATTTGTTACTTCATGCTACAGTAAGTAACATAAATCACCTACTATGGAAACACATAATTTGTTACTTTATGGTACAGTGGCTTACATTAACTAATATGGAACCTCATACTTTGTTACTTCATGCTAAGTAACACAAATCAACCTAATATGGAAACATAATTTATTTCATGCTACAGTAACATACACCTGAAAAAGACAACTCTTCTAAATGTCTGTCTGCGCTGTTAAACTACAAATTTAAATAGCATCAAAACTGTTTGTCTCAACTGCTTTATAAAATTTCAGATTGCCGCACTAGGGCAACACTGACATCATTTGCGGCACGATTCCGAAGTCGCAGATCTGCCGAATACAGTTATCTAGATGATCGGCCAGATTTATACAGCAGCAATACCAGTGACATTGTAAGCTAACTAAAAGTGAACATGTCTGTCTGTTCATATCTTGGAAGTATAATTGTGGAGCCATACTATTTTCCTTCTGGCGTTGTTTGCTGCCTTGTTGATGTGTTTTCTCCATGTCAACCAACCTATCATCAGACGTGACTCTGGGGTATGTGGGCTCCTCATCCTCTCTTAGTGGTATTCCGTTTATCTGAATGATGCCTGATTTTTGTTTTGGAGAAAGGGTAAAGAGGGTGGTGCTACACTTGTCTGTATTGATGTGGACACATCATTTACCAGCCCATGCAACCACTGCATCTATGGATCTTTGCAGCAGTCTTGTGACCACTGTTGCATATTTATTTGTGCACCATAGTACCAAGTCATCAGCGTACATCACACCAATAATACCAGCATTTAGGTAATTGAGAGAGACCAGAAACAGTGTTGGGGACAGGACACCACCTTGGCGGACACCATGGTGCAGCAAGACTTTCTTGCCCTTGAGTCCATTTATCTGTACTCGAGCCCTTCTGTTATACAAGTATGTTTTTATCCATCTGTACATATTACCATTCACTTTGTAGTTTCTCAGTTTCTTCATGAGACCTTCTTTCCAGACCTTGTCAAAGGCTTTCTTCAGATCTATCCATGCCACAAGCACTAGCTTCTTTTCCTGTAAGGCATCCTTAATTTCTTGAGAGAAGAAAATTGTCTTATCTTCTGTGGGTAACACTGTCTGAAGCCTGCTTGCTGTGGTGTGAAGATTTTGTCACTTTCTATGTACCATTGAAGTCTAAGGTTGACAGTGTGTTCCACTGTTTTACAGAGGCAGCTGGTAAGGCTGATTAGTCTATAGCTGGAGATTTGGAATTGTCCTTTCCTGGTTTAAGGAGAGGTATCATGGTTGCTTCTCTCCTTATCTAGGGAACTTTGCCCCAGGTCCAACAATTATTAAAAATCAGCAGTTTTATTTTGGCTGTTGTCCCTACATTCCTTATCATTTCCTTGGTTATTTTCCATTGATACCAGGCAACTTTCCCATTTTCAGGTTCAATATTGCTAACTGCAACTCACTAGATGTAATTGGTGCCTTCAGTACTTCAGGAACTATATCATTTTGTCTTGAGTGTTGTTATTTCTCTCGAGCATCTCGTTGTTTCTCGACTGTCATCAATGTTGCTGCCTTCTGCAAATAAAACTGCAAAGTGGTCAGCCATCTTTTTTTCTTGTTAGGATGGCTCCTTCTGTATATATATTTGCCTTTCTCCCTGTTAGTTAGTTAGTTAGTTAGTCTTTCCTCTTGTGTCGAGTGCGGCACATAGGGCAGAGGTCGTGACTCTCCATGCACGGCGGTCCATTGCAATCCGTTGTAGGTCTTGGATGTTTGAGTGGCCCATGAGCGAGCCTTCCCTGATGATAGTTCTACGTAGGGTTTCCCTTGGTCTTCCACGAGATCTTTTCCCCTGTGGTGTCCAAATGAGGGCTTGGTAAGGAAGTCTTGATTTATCCATTCTAAGGGCGTGGCCGACATAGTTCCAGCGGCGTTTTCGTATAAAAATTAGACACATACTCTTGCCTGGATTCTTGCCTTATTTGTGTATTGGTTCGGAAATCTGACCATTTGAAATTTAGTATTCTTCTAAGGCATTTATTTTCAAAACTGTCTAATTTTGTGTCTAGAGTTTTCGTTGATTTCCAGCTCTCGCATCCATAGGTTAGTACTGGAATCACACAAGAATTGAAGATCTTGAGTTTTGTGTGTTTGCTAAGTGTCTTTGATTTCCAGATGTTAGACAGTTTATTGAAGGCACTAGATGCCAGTGCTATTCTAAATGATATTTCTGGTGCGGTATCTCCTGTAGATGACATCTTGATCCCTAGATAAGTGAAACTGTTGACTTTTTCAAGGCTGTTGTTGTTCAGCGTGATATCAACTGAACTGTTGGTAAGGTCTAGAATTTTTGTTTTTGCGGTGTTAATTTGGAGTCCAATTTGTTCTGAGAAATTCTGGAGTCGATTGATTTTTTCTTGGGCGTCTGTGTGTTCTGAACTCAGGAGTGCTATGTCGTCGGCGAAGTCTAGGTCTTCCAGAATTTTGTCAACCCATGTAATGCCTAAATTTGCGTTATTTATGCACTTGCGCATGACCCAGTCGATTGCTATACCAAAAAGCATCGGCGATAGGACACAGCCTTGCTTCACTCCTGTTTCCACCGGGAACCAGTCAGAATTGCCGGAATCAGTTCTTACACAGCATCGTGTTTCATTATAAAAAGATTTTATGATGTTGATATATTTGATGGGGAAACCATAGATGTTAAGCTGTGCTCTCATAATTAATGTGCTTTACTAGCCTCCCCAGCTTCATTGTGTCTCTTTCAAATTTTGGAGACTTTTGTTCTCTGCCAACTAGCATGGAGCTTAGCTTTTTTAAATTGTTGTTGGTATTTGTTGAATAGCTCCTGACAAAGTCTGGTCTCAGCTTTCTTTCTGTTTCCATATCATTGGTAGTGTAGTGCCTAGATGCTTGCCTGGTGGGTCTTGGGTGCAAATTCACATTGACTCAGGTTTTTACAAAAGTGACTTTGGCTTCCAGGTTTAAAAAGGTACTAAAAAATGTTCTGGGAACTAAACTACACCTCTTTAATGTTTTACCACATCACCTGTGAGTTCTATTTGATCTATTAAAAAAATATGACTGATGTACCAATGGCAGGACTTCCTTTCCCGTTCCAAACCTCAGGTTACCTGTAGTAACCGTCAGGTGCCCAAAAGTAACCATCATGGTGGAACAGTGTTTCCAGGATTCATACCTGCTTGATTCTTATCCTTCAGGTGTTGATCCTACAGTCTGCAATCATGGAGAGGACATGCTAACCAACCAGTGGCATGCAAGTTTATTTACTTTTATCCATCCACACATGCAGTCACTCACACATAGGATTATATTTTGTATCACATTTTTTTTTCTATTTATCAGAATCCAGTAAATTCAGAGGAAGATAAAACCAGTGATAAACTGGACCTTGAGAGAAATCATGAGGATGTTGTTGAGGTAAAGCCTACAACCCTTGAATCACAGGAAACGGCTAGCTGCATGAAGGAAGATCTGGAGATGATGGACACCCGCATCGAAGGCATGGAGGAAGCACTGATGGAGATAACCCAGCTGGTTAGCCACCTGAAAAAGAAGGTAGGGTACTTATAATTTATTATACAACAGATAACCTAACTTTTCAACTGCCTGAGAAGGAAGGTAGGCTACCTGTAATTTTTTAATGGCATAATGGCATCCGTCAGACCCGGGGGACTATGGAGATGTGCCGCTGGCTTTGGGAACAGCATCTGCTGTGACTGTAAAGTCCGATGCGGGAATGGCAGCCTTTGCCATACAGGATACACACAAAAGCAGATACTGCTAGGTACTCAAACTCATTTACAGCCAGCAGCTGATGGTCATACACACTAATGTTTGGTGGATTTCCAACATTCAATCCCATCACTTGTGTTTTGTTCAGACTGATGGTAAGCCCAAATTCTTTGAAAGCATTTGCAAAGCGATTCATTAGGATCTGCAGATCATCCTCTGAATGTGCCACAATGGCTGCATCATCCGCAAACAGAAAATCCCTGAGGCACCTTCATCCTTGCACGTAGCCTGGACAGATTAAAAAGATTGCCATCTGACCTCGAACGGAGGTATATCCCCTCAGTTGCTGTCCCAAATGCACGCCTCAATAATGCGGTAAAAAAGATGCCAAACAGCGTGGGAGCCAGAACACATCCTTGCTTTACTCCATTTCGAATCTGGAAGGGTCGAGATGATGAATCCTCATATATTATGGTCCCCTTCATAATCTCATAAAAGGATTTGATTAGGCTCAGTAGTATAGGTGGGCATCCATATTTTTCAAGGATCCCGAATAGACCATCTCTGCTGACATAGTCAAAGGCCTTAGTGAGATCTATGAAAGCAATGAGCAGTGGCCTCTGTTGCTCTCTGCACTCTTGTAGCTGCCTGATTTTATTAATTTATTATATAACAGATAACCCAACCTTTCAACTGCCTGAGAAGGAAGGTAGGGTGGCTGTTATTATTTAACAGACAGCCCAAGTGATTAACTGACTGAAAAAAGGAATGTAGGATAGCTTTAATTATAAAAACCCAAAAAATTAACGCACTGAACATAAATGCAGGTTCACTATAGTTTATTATTTAACAGATAACCTAAGTGATTAACTGATTGAAAGAAAGAGGCTAGGTTGGCTCTAATTTATTATTTAACTGATTGAAGGAAAGAGGCTAGGTTGGCTGTAATTTATTGTTTAACAGATAATCAAACTGTTTAACTGCCTCTAAAAGAAGGTAGGTTGGCTCTGATGTTTTAAATTACAAATCCAGAACATCAGTGTTACTAAACTCAAAGAGAATTCCAAAACTAACCCACCATATTGTCAAAACAGGGGACTGAAGCGGGTAAATGAGTCTGTCTACTCATCCTGTAAAACACTGTAGCTGCAAAATCCAGCTAATGAAGATCAAGTCTACAAGCTTTGCAAGCGCTGGTCGAAGGCCTATGTTTCACTTTGAGACAAAAGACAGAAGAGGTTAAGAAGGAAAACAATAAAAGTAGATCTTAAGAAGAATGTTGTGAATACCTTGGACTGCCAGAATAACTAACAATGATTGCCTGGAAATGGCTAATGAAAGTAGAACATTATGTAAAACAATGATAAGGAAACAAATAGTTATTTGGTCATGTGATGAGAATGGGAGCACTGGAAAATATTGTGATGACTGAAAAGATCATTGGTAGAAGAGACAGAGGCAGACCAAGAGAAATGATGATGATGGATGCCTTAACACAGTGGCTTGGAGGAATATCATCAGTGGAATTGATCCAGAATGCCAAAGACCAAGATGTGTGGAGATGCATGAACCCATACACCAGCTGGCAAGGCACTTGATGATGATAGGATGATACAATCCAATTATGATTCAGATGTCCTGAAAAAAATGACTTGTA